TCCTCACCGCATGTCACCTCTCCTCACCGCATGTCACCTCTCCTCACTGCATGTCACCTCTCCTCACTGCATGTCACCTCTCCTCACCGCATGTCACCTCTCCTCACTGCATGTCACCTCTCCTCACCGCATGTCACCTCTCCTCACCGCATGTCACCTCTCCTCACTGCATGTCACCTCTCCTCACTGCATGTCACCTCTCCTCACTGCATGTCACCTCTCCTCACCGCATGTCACCTCTCCTCACTGCATGTCACCTCTCCTCACTGCATGTCACCTCTCCTCACCGCATGTCACCTCTCCTCACCGCATGTCACCTCTCCTCACCGCATGTCACCTCTCCTCACCGCATGTCACCTCTCCTCACCGCATGTCACCTCTCCTCACCGCATGTCACCTCTCCTCACCGCATGTCACCTCTCCTCACTGCATGTCACCTCTCCTCACTGCATGTCACCTCTCCTCACCGCATGTCACCTCTCCTCACCGCATGTCACCTCTCCTCACCGCATGTCACCTCTCCTCACTGCATGTCACCTCTCCTCACTGCATGTCACCTCTCCTCACTGCATGTCACCTCTCCTCACTGCATGTCACCTCTCCTCACTGCATGTCACCTCTCCTCACCGCATGTCACCTCTCCTCACTGCATGTCACCTCTCCTCACTGCATGTCACCTCTCCTCACTGCATGTCACCTCTCCTCACCGCATGTCACCTCTCCTCACTGCATGTCACCTCTCCTCACTGCATGTCACCTCTCCTCACCGCATGTCACCTCTCCTCACCGCATGTCACCTCTCCTCACCGCATGTCACCTCTCCTCACCGCATGTCACCTCTCCTCACCGCATGTCACCTCTCCTCACTGCATGTCACCTCTCCTCACTGCATGTCACCTCTCCTCACCGCATGTCACCTCTCCTCACCGCATGTCACCTCTCCTCACCACATGTCACCTCTCCTCACCGCATGTCACCTCTCCTCACCGCATGTCACCTCTCCTCACCGCATGTCACCTCTCCTCACTGCATGTCACCTCTCCTCACTGCATGTCACCTCTCCTCACTGCATGTCACCTCTCCTCACTGCATGTCACCTCTCCTCACCGCATGTCACCTCTCCTCACTGCATGTCACCTCTCCTCACTGCATGTCACCTCTCCTCACTGCATGTCACCTCTCCTCACCGCATGTCACCTCTCCTCACCGCATGTCACCTCTCCTCACCGCATGTCACCTCTCCTCACTGCATGTCACCTCTCCTCACTGCATGTCACCTCTCCTCACTGCATGTCACCTCTCCTCACTGCATGTCACCTCTCCTCACTGCATGTCACCTCTCCTCACTGCATGTCACCTCTCCTCACCGCATGTCACCTCTCCTCACCGCATGTCACCTCTCCTCACCGCATGTCACCTCTCCTCACTGCATGTCACCTCTCCTCACCGCATGTCACCTCTCCTCACCGCATGTCACCTCTCCTCACTGCATGTCACCTCTCCTCACCGCATGTCACCTCTCCTCACCGCATGTCACCTCTCCTCACTGCATGTCACCTCTCCTCACTGCATGTCACCTCTCCTCACTGCATGTCACCTCTCCTCACTGCATGTCACCTCTCCTCACTGCATGTCACCTCTCCTCACTGCATGTCACCTCTCCTCACTGCATGTCACCTCTCCTCACCGCATGTCACCTCTCCTCACCGCATGTCACCTCTCCTCACCGCATGTCACCTCTCCTCACTGCATGTCACCTCTCCTCACCGCATGTCACCTCTCCTCACCGCATGTCACCTCTCCTCACTGCATGTCACCTCTCCTCACTGCATGTCACCTCTCCTCACCGCATGTCACCTCTCCTCACTGCATGTCACCTCTCCTCACTGCATGTCACCTCTCCTCACTGCATGTCACCTCTCCTCACTGCATGTCACCTCTCCTCACCGCATGTCACCTCTCCTCACCGCATGTCACCTCTCCTCACCGCATGTCACCTCTCCTCACTGCATGTCACCTCTCCTCACCGCATGTCACCTCTCCTCACCGCATGTCACCTCTCCTCACTGCATGTCACCTCTCCTCACCGTATGTCACCTCTCCTCACCGCATGTCACCTCTCCTCACTGCATGTCACCTCTCCTCACTGCATGTCACCTCTCCTCACCGCATGTCACCTCTCCTCACTGCATGTCACCTCTCCTCACTGCATGTCACCTCTCCTCACTGCATGTCACCTCTCCTCACCGCATGTCACCTCTCCTCACTGCATGTCACCTCTCCTCACTGCATGTCACCTCTCCTCACCGCATGTCACCTCTCCTCACCGCATGTCACCTCTCCTCACCGCATGTCACCTCTCCTCACCGCATGTCACCTCTCCTCACCGCATGTCACCTCTCCTCACCGCATGTCACCTCTCCTCACCGCATGTCACCTCTCCTCACTGCATGTCACCTCTCCTCACTGCATGTCACCTCTCCTCACTGCATGTCACCTCTCCTCACTGCATGTCACCTCTCCTCACCGCATGTCACCTCTCCTCACTGCATGTCACCTCTCCTCACTGCATGTCACCTCTCCTCACCGCATGTCACCTCTCCTCACCGCATGTCACCTCTCCTCACCGCATGTCACCTCTCCTCACTGCATGTCACCTCTCCTCACTGCATGTCACCTCTCCTCACCGCATGTCACCTCTCCTCACCGCATGTCACCTCTCCTCACTGCATGTCACCTCTCCTCACCGCATGTCACCTCTCCTCACTGCATGTCACCTCTCCTCACTGCATGTCACCTCTCCTCACTGCATGTCACCTCTCCTCACCGCATGTCACCTCTCCTCACTGCATGTCACCTCTCCTCACTGCATGTCACCTCTCCTCACTGCATGTCACCTCTCCTCACCGCATGTCACCTCTCCTCACCGCATGTCACCTCTCCTCACCGCATGTCACCTCTCCTCACCGCATGTCACCTCTCCTCACCGCATGTCACCTCTCCTCACCGCATGTCACCTCTCCTCACTGCATGTCACCTCTCCTCACTGCATGTCACCTCTCCTCACTGCATGTCACCTCTCCTCACTGCATGTCACCTCTCCTCACCGCATGTCACCTCTCCTCACTGCATGTCACCTCTCCTCACTGCATGTCACCTCTCCTCACTGCATGTCACCTCTCCTCACCGCATGTCACCTCTCCTCACCGCATGTCACCTCTCCTCACCGCATGTCACCTCTCCTCACTGCATGTCACCTCTCCTCACTGCATGTCACCTCTCCTCACTGCATGTCACCTCTCCTCACTGCATGTCACCTCTCCTCACTGCATGTCACCTCTCCTCACCGCATGTCACCTCTCCTCACTGCATGTCACCTCTCCTCACTGCATGTCACCTCTCCTCACCGCATGTCACCTCTCCTCACCGCATGTCACCTCTCCTCACCGCATGTCACCTCTCCTCACTGCATGTCACCTCTCCTCACTGCATGTCACCTCTCCTCACCGCATGTCACCTCTCCTCACCGCATGTCACCTCTCCTCACTGCATGTCACCTCTCCTCACCGCATGTCACCTCTCCTCACTGCATGTCACCTCTCCTCACTGCATGTCACCTCTCCTCACTGCATGTCACCTCTCCTCACCGCATGTCACCTCTCCTCACTGCATGTCACCTCTCCTCACTGCATGTCACCTCTCCTCACTGCATGTCACCTCTCCTCACCGCATGTCACCTCTCCTCACCGCATGTCACCTCTCCTCACCGCATGTCACCTCTCCTCACCGCATGTCACCTCTCCTCACCGCATGTCACCTCTCCTCACTGCATGTCACCTCTCCTCACTGCATGTCACCTCTCCTCACCGCATGTCACCTCTCCTCACCGCATGTCACCTCTCCTCACTGCATGTCACCTCTCCTCACCGCATGTCACCTCTCCTCACTGCATGTCACCTCTCCTCACTGCATGTCACCTCTCCTCACTGCATGTCACCTCTCCTCACCGCATGTCACCTCTCCTCACTGCATGTCACCTCTCCTCACTGCATGTCACCTCTCCTCACTGCATGTCACCTCTCCTCACCGCATGTCACCTCTCCTCACCGCATGTCACCTCTCCTCACCGCATGTCACCTCTCCTCACCGCATGTCACCTCTCCTCACTGCATGTCACCTCTCCTCACTGCATGTCACCTCTCCTCACTGCATGTCACCTCTCCTCACCGCATGTCACCTCTCCTCACCGCATGTCACCTCTCCTCACCGCATGTCACCTCTCCTCACTGCATGTCACCTCTCCTCACTGCATGTCACCTCTCCTCACTGCATGTCACCTCTCCTCACCGCATGTCACCTCTCCTCACCGCATGTCACCTCTCCTCACCGCATGTCACCTCTCCTCACCGCATGTCACCTCTCCTCACCGCATGTCACCTCTCCTCACCGCATGTCACCTCTCCTCACTGCATGTCACCTCTCCTCACTGCATGTCACCTCTCCTCACTGCATGTCACCTCTCCTCACTGCATGTCACCTCTCCTCACCGCATGTCACCTCTCCTCACCGCATGTCACCTCTCCTCACCGCATGTCACCTCTCCTCACCGCATGTCACCTCTCCTCACTGCATGTCACCTCTCCTCACCGCATGTCACCTCTCCTCACTGCATGTCACCTCTCCTCACTGCATGTCACCTCTCCTCACTGCATGTCACCTCTCCTCACCGCATGTCACCTCTCCTCACCGCATGTCACCTCTCCTCACCGCATGTCACCTCTCCTCACTGCATGTCACCTCTCCTCACTTCGACTATGCTACCCGGAGTAAGGCGAGGATGTGAGGGTGGCGGCACTCCTCACGCCACTATGCATCTCCTTGTACCCTTGTTTCCTAATCATGTCATTTTGGAGGATGTGAGGGTGCCGGCACGTTTGGGTTGGCTAAAAAACCCCTCTCTTTACCGTCATGCCTTTGTGACCTCCTCCTTTCCTAATCAGGTCATTTTGGAAGATGTGAGGGTGCCGGCAGCAAACCTTATCGGGGGGAGGGGCAACGGCTTTCGAATAGCAATGACTGGGCTGGATGGTGGGAGAGTGAACATCGGTGCATGCAGGTGGGTGGGTCCTCTCTTCACCGCACCTCACCTCGCCTCATTGCACTCCACCTTTCCCTTCCTCGGCTCTTGATCTGTCCGTCCGTCTGTGAACTGTGTGGGAGTATCGTCCGCCTTCTTTAGGCTCCAAGCAAGTGGTTTGTACTCCCCCCCTCCCTCTCTCCCCTCTCCCCCGTTCTATGTAGTGTGGGAGGGGCGCAGTTCTGTCTCGAGTATGCTCAGCAGCATGCAACGGACCAGAGAAGGCTGATCCACTGGCAGGCAGACATGGCTATGCACGCTCCCTCTCTCCCTGTTTCCCTTGTACTGTCGTGGCAGTGTGGGAGGGGCACAGTTCTGTCTCGAGTATGCCCAGCAGTATGCAACGGACAGGAAACAGGTGGGTGCCCACTGTCGATTTTCCTCCTCTTTTTTCTATCACACCCCTCTTCCTCCCTTTCTTTTCACCACCCCTCTTCCTCTTTTCCTCCCACCACCCCCCTTTCTCCTCGTTTTTATATCACCGCCCCTCTTCCTCCTTTTCTTTTCACCAATCCTCTCCCTCTTTCTCCTCTCTTCACTTCCTCTTCCGTCCCCCCCCCCACATGCAGTTTGGCAAGCCAATCACGGCCTTCCAGAACACGCAGGTCCAACTGGCCGACATGGCAGCAGCCTCACTTCGCAGGCCGACATGGCCGATGGCAGCAGCCCTTTTCTCTCCCTCACCGCTGCCCTCTCTTCCCTTCCCTCACCTGCTTTTCTGCCCATCCCCCCACCTGCAGTTCGGCAGGCCAATCACGGCCTTTCAGAACACACAGTTTCAACTGGCCGACAAGGCAACAGCAGTGGAGGCATCTCACCATGCTGCCGCTCGTGATGACTCCTCTCTACTCCTCCTCTCTAACCTTCCTCTTCCGGTGTCCCACTCGTTGTGCAGTTTGGCAAGCCAGTCACAGCCTTCCAGAACACGCAGAACTGGCCGACATGGCAACAGCAGTGGAGGCATCTCGCTCTGCTGGTGCTAGTGGTGACTCCTAATCTCTTCTCTTCCTCTTCCATTCACCACGCATTGTGCAGTTTGGCAAGCCAATCACGGCCTTCCAGAACACGCAGTTCCAACTGGCCGACATGGCAACAGCGGTGGAGGCATCTCGCCTGATGGTTCGCAGTGCTGCCACCGCCATTGATGTGAATGCACCCTGGGCGACAACAGCTGCTGCCATGGCCAAGAGGTGAGTGTGCTGTTGTCCATATATCGAGTCACCCCAAAACGAGTACAGTGACATGGCAAAAGCGGTGGAGGCATCTCGTCTGGTGGTTCGCAGCGCTGCCACTGCCATGGATGTGAGTGAATGCACCCTGGGCGGCCACAGCTGCTGCCATGGCTGAGAGGTGAGTGATGTTGGGAGTCGGAAGGAGCTAGTGGGGCTTCCTCCCCTTCCCAACCCCCCTTCTCTTCCTGCTCTCCTCGTCCCCACAGCACCCCTCACTCGTGATGTCTGATCCCTTATGTGGTACATCCCCTTCATGTGTCTCTCTCCGTTATCCCCTCAGGTTTGCAACAGATAACTGTTACCAGGTGGCCAATCAGGCGTTACAGATGCTCGGAGGCTATGGGTTTCTACAAGATTACCCTGTATGTTTCTTTGCTCCCAGGCACTTGCCTATGCAACTGGGTGCGTTCATGCCTTTCTGCTCTTGTTGTTGGGAAGTAGCATTTTACAGGTAAGATACTCATCTGCACCCCCTTAGCTCTGCGTTTTACGTCAATTCAACACATTATTCAACGTGTATGCAGGTGGAGCGATACTTGAGGGATCTTCGAGTGCACACCATTCTAGAGGGTACAAACGAGATAATGCGCCTCATTATAGCACGCCGCCTATTACAACCGTGATAATGCCATGTTGTAGCTGTTGTATATATTGCTCTGCGTGTGTACTCTGTGTTGGACCCTGGAATAAACGTATATTTTCTCTTTCCTCCTAGCATGTACATATTACATCCTGTCAGCCAATACTGTGTCTTTCGTGTAGAACTAGGCTGGGTCGTTCGCGAATAGTATCACGACAATTTATGCATTGAATGCATGTGTTGGGCCAACAACAATCCGCGGTGGTGCCTTTTGGCTGGAGCCAGTGGCCTCGAGAGTCGAGTCGAGAACACCTCATAGGAGTCATCCCTCCTCCACCGTGGCAGTCCGTGGATTGCGATTTCGAAAATCACCTTCATCCTCCTCTGTACACCTGATGCCCATTTCAGTCCCGTTCCCCATCTTTCTCTGTGCTTCTCTTTCGAGCATGCGCTCTCTACGGGGAGAATGGGACTGTATCTGGGTAGCCCAGCGTGTCTTGTCTGGGGAACTCGATTAACCTATTCGAGGTCAAGAATATCTTAGCTTTGTCGTGGGCTAGTAACGCGCGGGCCGTTGGCTGTGAATGTCGACCACTGGGCGTATGGAGTGGCAGTGGGCGTGTTCAGAGTGGGCGGTTGAGTGAGCATTAGGGTGTAGTTATGCTGTACAGTAGTCGTGAGTCAGCATGGCAAAGTCATTACGACAGGTGTACGATACACCTGATCGCTTCGTAACCAGCCGCGCCTTGCATTGTTTTTCACGCGAGATCCCATTCGTGGGGTGGACTCCACCCACAATAGACTGGAAATTGGACAGTGTGTTTCCCTAACCAAAACATGACTGAGGTGTGTGTGTGTGTGTGTGTGTGTGTGTGTGTGTGTGTGTGTGTGCTTACGAAATTGACAATGAGGTACAAGCGACCTAATGTAGGCTGAAGGTTTAGTACTGAGATGGTTTTACGAATAATGAGAACGATTTCGTAAAACAATATCAGTGCCACCCACAGAAAGTGTCATCCTCCGAACCGAATACAATCTGCTGAGATGGTGTCACTGTGGTGTGCTTGTCTTGCTGCTGGGGTGGGGTGGGGTGGTGGGAGTGGGGCAATGAGAGGAATGGCGGTGCCGTGCACACATCGGCGGCTCATACTGTACTGACTGGTAGGTAGGTACATCTTTTTTCAGTTTTAAATGAAAGAAAAACGGAAAACGCAGCCTCAAGAACACCCCAGTAGAACAGCACATAAGGAACCCCAAAAGACACCCCAACGAGATACCCCCAACGAGACACCCCAACGAGACACCCCAACGAGACACCCCAACAATACGCCCCATCTAACCAAACCCCCCACCCCCCCTAACCGGACCCTCACTTGTCTTTGTTCATTGAGTTGGGCTGGGATTGGGAGCTTTGTGGTCATAGCGAGCGAAGCGGGGAATGGCGGTAATTTTCTGAAAGCTGCCATTGGGATTGGATCCAGCTAGAAACAGCTACAAAGCGGTGCATTCGCCATAGCGTACTATCGTCTTATGGAAAAACGAAGAGGCAGAGTGCATATGTGGCTGTGCTTACTGGCTCGTGCGCTGGCATGGTCCTAAGAATGCCGGGGTAAAGTCTGTTGCTGCCTCATTCCAAAATCTGATAAGGTGGGGTCCCATCAATTTTCCTTTTGGCATGACTCCAGCGCAAGCTGCCCGCATCCGCCGCTGCCAGTGCGACAGCCGCCGCCATGGCTACACGAACGAGCTGTATTTAGGAGCTAGCGACAGGAATGTGTGGTAAAGAGCCGCTCCGCTATTTGATACTTTACAGTAGCGATTTTGCTGCGCTGCGACTCCGAGTCTCGCTCGTGTACAGTACATGTTCATACACCACTTCCACTCTTGGGAACCGTCTTCGGGAAATCTAAGAAAATTTAGGGCGTGTGTGGTCTATGCTAAAGTTCGGAAAAAAGGTCGAACTTTAGGTGGTTACCCAGATCGCGAATTTCGTCAAATTGTTTCGCGAAGAAGATGGATTTTACAGCGCACAAAAGTTCGAATGTGGAATGTGAACTTGACTCGAGTCGGCGTTGTGAACGTGCGTGCGCACGTTCGTGCGAGCGTCTGTGATTTACAGCACGTACGAGGAGCAGGCGAAACGGGCGAGGGCTTGGCGAAGTTTAAAATGGCACAACGAAAAAATCCCACGATTATGGCTCTCTTCGGTAGCCACGTGGCAACATCCGAGGCATCTAGGAGAACCGGGTAACCTAATTTTTGTCACGCGGCTGGGCGCGTTTTTTATTAGGTCGAATTTTGGGGTTCGACCTTGTATGTGTGATTGCAGTTTTACAGTGTTGCAGTCCCGATGTTCGAACTTCGCTCCAAATTCCAATCGAAGTTAAAAAACCAAATCGCCCTAAAAACATAAACTTTAACAATTTTCAAAGACCACACACGCCCTTATGCTCCATCCGCGTAATCTGCCCTGGGAAGTCAGCGGCCCTGTTTCCTTTTGATCTTAAATTAGCGCGTCGCAGTAAGTCGTAGTCTCCATCACCTCAGGACCAGACTGACTTGTAACCGTCAATTAAGATTTGAAGGAATAATTTTGAGGCCTCCACACGACCTCGTTCCTGACCTTGAGGCGTCTCAGAAACAGGCATCGCGAATTAACTCTGGCCGTCCACAGGGAGTGTAGCAAGCACACGAAACAGCCATACGGAACAGCCCACTACTATTTCAGACCCAGTTCCTTCGCACAAAGCTCGCTTACTATTGTGCTTTTGTTTCTGACAGTATAGTCTACCAACGCACGTGTTTGGTATTCAGGCGTCTCTCCGGGTCGGTCAACACGGTGCTCAGGAATCTTCGTTTCTGCGGCGAAGCGCGCGACGGAGTGGAAGCTGCGACGGGAATTGCGGAGGAGTCGTGTCTGGTACACTGCTGACGCCAAGTTCCCTCGTTAAGTAAGGTGGCGTCGCAGTCAGCTTCGCGACCTGCGCTGCGACAGGTGCAGGGCGCGACACATGCGACAGATGCGTTCGTCGTTAACGGAGGCTAGTAGCTCGCGAGTTCTCCCCCGCCTCAGTCTCCACCTCGGAATGGCCCCTGCCGCCACCACCGCCGCCACCCCTCGGACTCCTCAATTCGGTGCCTCTACTACCACTGAATGTAATGAAGCTGTACGCCGCGTCAAGAGCAGTATTCTTTTGCAAGATTGTTGCGTTGACGACGCCTCGTCCGACGCGTCCCTTTCTGGTTCGTTTTCCTCCGCCCCCAGCAGCGGCGCTTTCGATTCTACCACTCTGCTGAACAGTAGTAATACTCCCGTTAGTATCACATTCCGGCGCCTTCCGTCGTATCGATGTCGATTAAGCCTCGACAATGGCAGCGCGACGAGCGCAACAAGCGCTGCCAGCTCGTTACTCCCGGGTGCCACGGCTGACGGAGAGGGCTCGCGATCCTTCTTCTCCCCGTCGCACACTCGCGAGTCCATTCGCGCGGACCGCGATTTGCGCCTTTCGCGAGTCAACAGCGACGCGGCGTACGCGAAGCTGGCAGCCTTGGACGAAATAATCGCCGAGGGTTACTACACGAGAGGAAACGAAGCCGCATCCGAGACGGGAGATTTGCTATGCTCAGATCCAAGAAGACGCCACGGAAATGCAGAAATCGCGACTCCGGCGATGGCGGAATCGTCGGCGGAAGTAACAGAAGCGGTTTTGGGGGCAGCGAGAGCAATAAGTGTCGGTCTAGGGTTTACCACGGAAAACAGTGCGGCTATTTTCAATTTAAACCGTCTGAGCAGGCTCGAGGAAGCAGGGTTTGCGGCGGAGCTGTCCCCGTCGACCGGAAACGTCGGGGGCGGAGCGACGCGCCGCTTGCGCCAAGCGGAAAGCATGAAAGCGCGCCGAGCTGCGTACGACTATTTTTTTCACAGCCCTTCCGCCGCCCCGTCCGGCGGCGTTGACTTGCCCGTTGACTCGTCACGCGCCGCCGCGCTGCCAGCGCGGGACTCCTTCAGTCCGCTTTTCTCCGGCCGCGAATGGCGGCTCTACGCCGCATCCGAAGACTCCAGCGGCGGCGGCGGCGGCGGCGGTTTCGACGGCGCTCAGTGCGGCAGCGGGACTGACGGTATCGGGGCGGGTTTAAGAAACTGGCGCAGGGGCTTCAGGGGCTCCGCGGAGGGACGTGGCGGGGAGGCGGGTCGTTATGGCGAAGATTTTCGAGAGGACGAGTCGTCTGGATACGGCATGTTCTCATCCCGCAACGGTAGAAGCAGCCCGTCCTTCTTCTCCCCGCCCCGCCGCGTTTTGAGTCGCCTCAAAAGTCGAGAGGACGAGTCGTCTGGACACGGCATGTTCTCATCCCGCAACGGCAGACGCAGCCCGTCCTTCTCCCCTCCGCGCCGCCACCATGACAGCAGCGTGTGCGCTCCGCATGACAGAAGCATGTGCGCGCACCGTGACTCTGAGAACTCCTCCCCTCCGCGCCACAGCGCTTCTCCTCCGCGCCACGGCGCTTCTCCTCCGCGCCACGGCGCTTCTCCTCCGCGCCACGGCGCTTCTCCTCCGCGCCACGGCGCTTCTCCTCCGCGCCACGGCGCTTCTCCTCCGCGCCACGGCGCTTCTCCTCCGCGCCACGGCGCTTCTCCTCCGCGCCACAGCGCTTCCCCTCCCCGCCACAGCGCTTCCCCTCCCCGCCACAGCGCTTCTCCTCCGCGCCTCAGCGCTTCTACTCCGCGCCACAGCGCTTCCCCTCCGCGCCATAGCGCTTCCCCTCCGCGCCCCAGCGCCTGCGCTGTCCATGACGTCCCCGCGGACCCCTACTCCTTCCGCCCTCCGCGCCAATCCTCTGCCGGGGCAGCATGTAGAGAGTCCTCATTGACGAGCCACGGGGGGGGTTGCAGCAGCTCCATTGTGTTCCCACTGCATCGCCGCAGCAGCAGCTCACCACCTTTGCCGCTGCCACAGGGGCAGGGGAGAGTCGAGGAGACGTCCGCAGCGAATTCAGCAGACGAATCTGTGGATTGGCTGTGCCAGGTTTCGGTACTGCCCCTGAGGCTTATACAGAATCGCCTGTACTCGTTTGAAGCCCCTCAGACTGCGCTCACTTTCCCTGACATGACCTCTCCTGGACATTCCACACCTGCGTTCGAAGCAGCAGGACTACCCGAACCTGCTTCTGAAGCTACACACGCGCCTACGCCCGAGCCTGCTGCTCGCCGAAGCAGCCCTGGACTTCTTGACTCTGCAGCTGCATTTAGACCCTTTCAGCCAGAAAGCAAATTCACTCCCACTACCGCTGCCGCTGCCGCTGCCGCTGCCGCTGCCGCTGCCGCTGCTGCTGCCGCTGCCGCTGCCTCTGTCAATGCTGCTGCCTCTGTCAATGCTGCTGCCTCTGTCAATGCTGCTGCCTCTGTCAATGCTGCTGCCTCTGTCAATGCTGCTGCCTCTGTCAATGCTGCTGCCTCTGTCAATGCTGCTGCCTCTGTCAATGCTGCTGCTGCTCCTCCCCCTGACCTGCACCCTCGAGAACGAGCCCGTGTGCAATCCTTTTGCGGCGCTGCTGATTTTCCCTTCCAGCCATACCTTTCTCCGGATTCTACACCCGTGAGCGGCTTCAGTGGGCTTGTTCCCTGGTCCGCCCCCTGTGCTTCGGATGGGGCCATGGCTCTGGAAGACGGCAGTGTCACCAGCAACGGCAGCAACAGCACTCGCAGTGGCAGTGGTTGTGGCAGTGGCGGCGGCGGTGGTGGTGGTGGTGGTGGTGTTGGTGCTGGCGATGGCAGCAAAGGTAGTGGCGTAAGGCGGGGGTCCGGTATGCAGAGCAGGAATGCTATGGGCGGCAATGCCAAGTGCAGCAGCAGTTTCAATTGCGCCAGCAGCATTGATAGTGGGAACATGGGTTTCGGTGCTTGCAGTAGCAGCAACAGGGACATGAATAGCTGGGGCAGCAGGAGCAGCACCAGCAGCAGGAGGAAGAGCGGGAGCAGCAGGAACAGCAGCAGCAGCAACTTCAGTAGAATCAACAGCGAAAACAGTGCGCGTTTGTCAAGCCAACAAGACACCCGCAGCAGGTGCCCTTCACGTGATGTGCTGAGACAGTTTTGGAAGGGAGAACGGAGGGAAGAGCAGGAGGAGCAGACTCATGGAAAAGTTGGGGAAGCAGGGAAGGAAGAAGGGAGGGAGAGGCGAGCAAACAGAGCCGAAGGTGCTGAGGCAGAAAGGATCAAGGGAGGAGGGGTGGAGGGAAGGGAGGGGTTGATGTGGCATGGGGCAACAGACCGGGAAGTACTGGTAAGAGGCTCAAGGCGTGATAGGTTTAGGGACAGACTGAAGAGATGGATGTCCAAAATGCAAGCTATGTGAATGAAAATCTGATAGAATTTCTCTTGCTGTGTCAAACATTTGGTTAATTTATGAATAAATAATTAACTTGAATTCCAAGTCATTAGCAATGGCCAAAAGATCCTTCCTACCAAGCATGCATGTGTACCGCTCCTGAACAATTACACTGGAACTTGCCCGTTTCCAGAAAAGAAAATACTGAGGTCAGGGTCAGGTCATTCAGGTTGCTTTCTTCCCAAGCAACTGGCGCCACCACTTGGACTTGCCAGCTCCGACAAGTGACCCAGGATCCTTCTGTTTAAGTACTACACTCGATAGTGTCCTTTTCAAGAATGCTCCCTTGCTTCTTCTGCACCCAGATGTACCCCCAGTCGTAGGTGTGGCTGCTCCCTCCTCTTCCACATCCTCGGTGAAAACTACCTCGTCTGATTCTGTACAAGTCGTAACAGCAGATGGAGAGCTGCTGCTTACAAAGCAAATTTCGTCCGCACTAGCGAAGGGGTCGGACACGGGGATGAAAACCAATCCCGAGGTTCCATTCCGGAGCTTTCTCGTCCTCGCGAGAGCGCGTTCTCGAGGCGAGTCTGGAGCCCGAGTCTCCTCGAGAGCGCGTTCTCGAGGCGAGGGAGGGATGAAAACAACCCCCGATGCTCTTTCTCTGTATTTCCTCGTCCTCGCGAAAACCCGTGTTCCTGCTGCTGCTGCAGCCGCCGTCAACTCTGCTTCAATCTCTTCTGTCGACCCTGCTGTTGGTGCTTCAGAGATCAGAAATTCTTCCCCACCCGCAGCTTGCAGCTGCTGCTGCTGCTCCTCTGTTCTGAAACTCCCATCCCTGCTGGAGTGTGAAACAACACGCAGCTGTTGCTCCTCTTTCTCGCGCTCGTCCTGCTCTATCTCCTCCTCCACCTCCTCCTCATCCACCTGCTCTCCATCCTCTTCATGCTCCTGCTCCTGCTCCTCCTCTGTACTTTTCCTACCTTGCCAGTGCTGCACCCGGTTGCGAGTCCCCTGAACCTGCACCGCTCCGAGCCTCACGCCGTACCGCCCGCGCGGCGGCTGCTGCTGCTGCTGCCGGCTGTAATGCTGCGGCTGCTGATACTCGCTATAGAATCGATGCGAGTGGTGCCAATCCACAGCACCAATCTCAATTCCGTCGGCGTCATTTCCCACATCATCATCCTCTGCGTCGAGCAATAAACCTTGTAACGAATTGTGCTGAAACGGATCTTGCTGGTGACTGAAACTCCGGCGGGATGGCGAGAAGAATCCCGGGCTCGAGGGAGAGAGGCGGGGAGAGGACTCGGCTGACGACAACTCAGCACCCGTCCACGTGTCACCGCCAAACCCGTTGCTACTTTCCTGAACATAACCGCCATTTCCACTGCCATTTCCAACATCAAAAGCGCCGTCAATTCCGCCGTCAAGCCCGCTGCTGAGTCTGCTGCTCGCCCTCTCGCTGCTCGACGACTCGTGGCTTAGATTAGTCACGGCGGTGGTCCACGTGCTGTTTGACACGTGGCTGCCGCTGCTGCTACCTGTCGACGTTGACGTGGCGAACCGCGCGGTCGCGATGGCCCTGCTGACCACGGTAGCTCTGGCAGCACCTGAGGTAGAATGCAACGGTTCAGGTGCTGATGACGTGGCATCCGTTAGCGGTTCGGCAGGGTTGTAGGAAGCTTCGAGGAAGGCAGCGGCAGGCCCGTCATCGACGGGAGGAACTGGTAACGAGGGAGGCGCGAGAGGAGACGCGGCAGCGGCAGAATTCGCCGCGCAGCCCTCAACACCGCCTATAGCATCTTCTCCAGCAGTAGCAGAAGCAGCAGGGGCAGCAGCAGCAGGGGTAGCAGCAGGGAGAGGCGAGACTGGAGCACCTACGAGGGGCGACACCGTCCTAGCTATGACCGTTATAGACGTAACGCGTTGAGGCGGAACGAGTTCTTCTGGTAGTTGATGAGCTCGAGTATTTGCATCAAGTTGATGCGAATCACGGGAATGATTATAGGGCGGATGAGAATGATGAGAAGGATAAGGCGGAGGGCCGGGATGAGAATCACCATCGTCAGAATATCTGACCGCCGCCCAAAAATCTTCCTCAGATATGCTCACCCGCCTAGCGCTGCCGCCCCTGCCGCCCAGGTTAGTACCACCAACAGTAACCCCGCAGCTGAAGCTCCCGCTTCCCCCCCCGTTCAAGCTTCCGCTTCCCCCACCGTTACTGAAACTTCCGCTTCCGCCGCCGAAACTGCCGCTATCGCCACTGCCGCTGCCCCTGCTCCCGAGTACGCCCCTCAAGCGAAACAAGTTACTGAAGGTTTCGCCAGCGGATCCTTTCGCAGGGACACGAAAAAAGCTCCCGCTCCCGTCGTCGCCGAGGTCGTACGACCCGTCGCTGAGCAAGCCGATGCTTCCTTGTCGCTCAAACAAAAAGAACGAATCGCGCGCGCCCGTCGACGCCGCAGCGTGCGACGGGGAGAAAAACGAAGGCGAATCGCACGACGACGCCGCGACAGCCGCTTCCATTTTCAATCTCCGTAAAAGGTCGATTCGCGGCGACTGGCTCGTCAGAAACGCCACATCAGCACCGCCGCTGCTCCCAGGACCGCTGCCGCTTAACCCACCCGTGAGGGGACAATCCCCCATACCAACCCCGCCGTCGACGCTCGTTCCCGGCGGCAGCGACCATCGTTGCGCAGAAAGCCGTGCGCCGTTCGCTGTGTCTCCGCTCTGGGCGGAAAATTCTCCGCCGGGGGCGGGGGAAGCAGGAGAACACGTCCCGTCGCCGGGATAAGCGGCGGTTTCCACGGGGTCCTCGCGAGGCCTTCTGCTAAGAGGGCTGTTGGAGGCGGGAATGGCGGAATGGGCGGGGGACCTGGGCGCAATGGCATGAAAAGTGGGTAAGTCTCCGGAAAAAGAGCGCGAGTGTCTGTGCCGTGGAGCGCGGCGGCACTCGGCGGCGCGCTTGCCGCGGGGAGAAAACGAGCGTTCGCGCGGACTGCAGGCATCCGCGGAAGGTGCGGCGGCGACAGCCGGGACCGCTCCCACACCGCAGGAGTCATCAGCGATCAGTGCGGCGGATGATGCGGCCGGTGGTACAGCGGGTGATGCGGCGGGTGGTGCGGCGCATCCTGTAGCAGCGGCGGACGTGCGCGAAAGGCGCGATCCTCCGGCAGTGGACTGAAGATGGTGCGATGCTGACATGGTTGGAAGCATTCGCGGCGCCGAAGCGCGCAAAACCTGTGGCGACATGAAGCTGGAATGGGCCTAGGCGAAATGGGCCTACGCGAAATGGGTCTAGGCCGAGTGCGGACGGGACAGTGGGAGGACAGAGGGGAGGGAACACACACAGCGAGAAATACTAAAACCAGGAACAATGGGGACAACTGGGCTGACTGTCCTACTACTCTATCTGCGTGAAAAAAAGTCTCTTATTATGCGGATATTGTTTATGCTTTGCAGTATGTAGCGACCTAACCTAGCTGGATCACATAAGCTGGCGTTACGAAGTGAGGACACCATAAAGACGGAATTTAGTCCTGGAGTAATTTGGACTAGTGGACAAGACAAACGACCACCTAAGAGTCTCGTAACAGCGGAGCGAGAAGAACCGCTTCTGAAAGTTCGCGTCCTTTTTTCCACTTCGACGCGTAGGACCAGAGGTAAGCGACCAACGCAACACACACGGTGCGCGCTCAACCGTGTACTGTACTGAATTGTGTACTGCATTTCAGCTGCACCGTGTGTCGAGTCAAAGCTGAACAGGTGAGTGACCATGTGAACACAACCTATGAATCAGAAGGTGGTAACAATGGGCATTATCGAATTTATTTTCGCTGATCGACTCGAAACCGTACAGAACCCTTTGAAGACGCGCCAAACCTCGCAAGAACGATACGGAAGTCGATCGAACTTGATGGTGGGAACACAATTGGCGTGTACCGCCATACAGCACACCAAAATGCGGGCTTGTGCACATTTGCTGCAGCACGTGAAAAGAGGCGGGGAAAAGGGCAGCGTCCAGTGATCGTCGTTGTGATGCGTCAGCATGCGACGCGATTGTCGTTCAGTAGTCACTGAACGAGACTTTCACGTACAAACGAGCACACATACAGTAACGGACTGCACAGATACGTACGCCCGTACGAATACTGTGTCAAGGGTGGTTACCGTACAGCATGTAACAAGGGCTGACGAAGGAACAAGAAAGAACGGAGGGAGGAAGAAACAAGGGCCGACGAATGTAACGAGGGCGGGCGGATTTGGGTAGGCGCCTATGAATCGGCTCGGCTGCTAACAGAGCGGAAGGGGAGAAGGGGAGGGAAGAAAGGGAGTTACTGTACGCAGGAGGGGAGAGGGAGGGAGGAGGATGATGCCCCAAGAATGGATATGGATGGAGTGTGTGAGGAACTGTAGTGTGGTGTGGCGTGAAGTGATGGAGAAAGCGACGCATCAAGGGAAGGGATGGTGGGAACAAAGGCAGAGTGGGAGAGAGGCGGTCCTAAAAAGGATTCAGGCGGTGGCAGACTTGCAAAATGTCAGCAGCAGTGCACCGAACCAGACGACAAAACCGGAGGTGAAAACGATTCAACTCGCCAACGACAGCTGTACAGTGTGCAACGGAAAAGGATACAGTGCAGCAGTACAGTACAGGCACAAATGGCAGGATGGGGTGGGTGGGGGACCTTGGGGGTATCTACAAAGGATTCACGACAACGACTTCAACCGATACGTTTTCTTGCTTCGAAGAGCACAATCTGGATTGAGCCTGAAATACTCCACTTCCTTCGAGGATAGCAAACAAAATGACTACTGCTAACTTTGGCCTAACGCAGTTACGGAGCACCTCTATCAGACCCATCTGTGAAATTAGCTCGTATAATAGAGCACATTTTTGTTGCGCACAGCTCAGATACGAAAAAACTATAATCGCATACCTGGTGCACCGCCAATTTCTCTGGTTCTTAAGGTGTACAGTCCTGCCAGTCTGTACAACTAGATGCCATTTGCAATCTGTCGCAGGTGGATCCGATGGTCAAATTCGAGTCGGCACACGTGCTCAGAGCGTGTTCCTACGGCCTCATATCAAGCCGCCTCGTGTCAAGACTGTACTATTTGCCTGGTAAAACTAGCGAGAGGTTTGGGGTTTAGGGGAATTTTAGTCTGAGCCTGATTGAGGTTCTCTTGATACGAGGATAGGAACACGCCCTTAGACTGGTCTTAAGGATCAACCAATCAGAGCTCATGTAGCACACACTGTGCTTGCCAGCTTGGATGGCAGATTGACCCACCTAAGTTAATGCAGATGAGTCAACCCCGAAACAGCGAGAAGTTCGGAAAGAAATTGAATGATACACACAATCGCAAAAACTAACTTATAATTACATAAATCCAGGTAACATGTATCCACTAGTGTTGAATTGATGCTTGCTGTTAGTGTGTGGATGTCTTCTATATTTGACGACGCCAATCAATACCCAAGATGTCTTTTGTATGGAGAGCACAAACATTACATCCCACGAGAGCAATACAACACACGCTGGAATAACCATCGTGCGAATAGAGCGCTGTGATACATTCACAACACATACTAACTGCTTGGGCCTATAAAAAATGACTCTGAAATTGTCGCCTCGATGCTTTCGGGAGTGTACACAAACAGCTTACTTGAAGTCAAGTCATCCCTTCAAATAGGTACGCAATGTTCCGAAAAGGAAAGTCAAAGGAGATGGAAAGAAAGAACAGGGAGAAGATGGTTTGAGTCACACGAACCGCATTGTCATGGTCAGCTTACACTGTTTTCTTTTCCTGTCTTGAGAAAGCAAGCAGAAACTTGTGACACAGTGTCTTGCGGCACCATGCCAAGTGGCATCTTGCGGCATCGCCGCGCAGCACCGTGGACCACTTGGCTCGGTTCTTCCTCTGCAGCTCAAAGTCAGCTCAAGTCAACTTAAGTCACACAGCTGCACAAACTTGTCGCTCTCACTCACCAGAAGGGCAGCAACATCTTGCGGTATTGCTCGTGCAGCACCATGAACCACTTGGCGTGGGTCTTCCAAGTCAACAGCTCAAAGTCAGCTCAAGTCAACTTAAGTCAACTCACAACTGCACGCACTAGTCGCTCTCACTCACCAGAAGGCCAGCAGCATCTTGCGGTATCTCTCGCGCAGCACAGTAGACCACTTGGCGCAGGTATTTCAAGTCAACTCAACACATACCAACTCAAGTCAACCCGAGTCAACTCGAGTCAACTCACCAGAAGGGCAGCAGCATCTTGCGGTATCGTTCGCGCAGCACCGTGGACCACTTGGCGCGGGTCTTCCTCCGCAGCTCCTCATCGGGAATGCACCACCGCCGCTGCCTCGCTACCAATGACTCAAACGCCACGTTGAATTTCCGCAACCTGGGGGGAGGAGGAGAGATGAAGGTGGTGGGGGATGGTGGGGGATTCGGAAACGGTGGGGAGTGGTGGGGGGGTGGTGGGGGAAGGTCGGGGGAAGGGGTGAAGGAAGAGCCGCATCACGCAAGCACAGTGGACCACTTGGCGCGGGTCTTCCTCCGCAGCTCCTCATCGGGAATGCACCACCGCCGCTGCCTCGCCACCAATGACTCAAACGCCCCGTTGAATCGCCGCAACCTGGGGGGAGGTGAGACGGGGGTTGGGGGTATGGTGGGCGAAGGGGTGAAGCGGGTCTTCCTCCGCAGCTCCTCATCGGGAGGTGGGCGATGGTGAGGGAGGAATGGAAGTGGGAGGGACATCGGGAATGCACCACCGCTGCTGCCGTGCCACCAATGACTCAAACGCCGCGTTGAATCGCCGGAACCTGGGGGTTTAAGAGGAGGTGGTGGGATGCGGTGGGGGATGGTGGGGAATGGTGGGGGATGTGATTGTGTGGCGAGTCAAAGGGAGATGAGAGAGCCGTGGCGTGGAGGTGTGGTGCGATGGAATAATGATAAAACGCAGATAGAAACCAACACAGCCTGGACGTGAAGCGAGGTTGTTTTTGAGACGTCTCAAAAACAACCTCGCTTCATGTGGAGGTGTGGTGCGATGGCATAATGATAAAAGGCAGATAGAAAACAACACAGCCTGGACGAGCGGGAATGGGGAGATGGTGGTGGGCGGGGGGGTGTGGGGAGGGGTGGGAAGGGATGAGACAGGTTGGGGAGGGGTGAGTAGTGGCGAGGAGCGGTGGGGAAGGGATAGGAATGTGTGCTGCTGCGCAGGAGGGTTGCATTGTGTGGTGAGTCAAAAAGAGATGAAAGAGGAGGGCTTACCTGTTGAGCCTGAGCCTGAGCTTGACAGAGTCAGTCAGGTGTGCCTGGGGGAGGCTCAGCTGATTGCTGAGTCGACTCAGAAAGAGGAGGCTTACCTGTTGAGCCTGAGCTTGACAGAGTCAGGTGTGCCTCGGGGAGGCTCATCTGTGAGTGCTGCCATGACCTGCCCGGGAGAGAGGGGAATAATGCAGGCCAGGAAGAACAGGGAGAGGGGAGAACAGAAATTTGAAATTGGGGAAAGCTGCAGGCAGGCAGGGAGGTTGAGATGAGAGATGAGATGAATCCGAGGAGGCTCATCTGATTTCTGAGGCGCCTAAAACGTCACCTCAAGGCTCATCTGTGAGCGCTACCATGACCTGTGGGGCGAGGGGAGAGAGGTAGGCAGGCAGACAGGCAGGGAGCGAGAGAGGGAGAGAGAGGCAGGCAGACAGGCAGGGAGAGTGGCAGGAGCGGCAAGCAGGGAGGGTGAGAGGACGAGAGAGGTGTGCCTCGGGGAGGCTCATCTGCCAGGGCTGCTCATATTCTTCACTCTCCACACTCCCCTCCCATGTTCCCTCCCCACCCCAACCACTCACCGCTGCCAGCGCGCGGCTCTGGAAGGCGGTGGCGTGCAGTTGAACGATGTGGCCGTCCCTCAGATCCGCCATGGCTGCTGTCAGGTCCCTCGCGCCCTCCCTGTGGTGTGCATGTGCGTATGACAAAGGGGACAAGGGGGATGACAAATGCTGACAAGTGAACGATGGGAGAGGGGCTGCACGATGCGGCCGTCCCTCAGATCCGCCATGGCTGCTGTCAGGTCCCTCGCGCCCTCCCTGGATTGTGTGGGGGAGGAGGGGTGAAAGACAACCGGACAAGGAGTGGTGTGTGTGTGTGTGTGTGTGTGTGTGTGTGTGTGTGTGTGTGTGTGTGTGTGGGGTTGTGGGGATGTGCTGCTGCTTCGTCCCTCAGATCCACCATGGCTGCTGTTAGGTCCCTCACGCCCTCCCTGGTGTGTAAGGGGCGGGGGAGTCGAGGAAGCAGGAGGGAAGATGGAAACAATCGACGAAGGCTGCAGTTGTGAGCTTGTGCGTCAACTTAAAAAGGGTATTTTTGAGAATTGTCGAAAACACCCCGCAGTTGTGAGCTTGTGAGTCAACTAAAAAAGGTGGCCGGGAGTCAACTCGGGAGGCGGCAGGGGAAATGAGAAATGGGCAGATATATGCAAATACCTGCACTGCACGCAGCAAGCAGCGAGGGGTGCGGGCGATGGCTTACTTGCGAGCTTGTGAGAGCGGGTGGTTGAGGCTGTCGACATGCCAGCGATACCAGTCAGCGCTGCGGGTGGTAGGGCAGGGCACAACAGGAGGCGGGGAGTTGAAGGGTGCGACAGGGGGACAGGCGAAAGGGGGGACTGAGAGTGAGAGCGGGTGGTTGAGGCTGTCCACGTGCCAGCGATACCAGTCAGCGCTGTGGGCAACAACAGGGGGGGAGGAGTTGAAGGGGGCGGCAGGGGGAAACGTGAAGGGAGCGAGTGGGAGTGAGAGCGGGTGGTTGAGGCTGTCCACGTGCCACCGGCACCAGTCAGTGCTGTGGAGTGGAGAGTAGGCCGCAACGGAGGGAAGGGGGAGGGAGAGGGGAAGAGGGGAAGAGGGGAAGAGGGGGAGAGGGGGAGAGGGGAAGAGGGGAAGAGGGGAAGAGGGGAAGAGGGGGAGAGGGGGAGAGGGGAAGAGGGGAAGAGGGGAAGAGGGGAAGAGGGGAAGAGGGGGACGGGAAAAGGGAGAATGAGGTGCTGTTGTTCGTCCTTCTTATTTCAGGAAAGTGAGACACACAAGCACACTGCTGCTACTCACACGGACTGAGTTGACTTTTGAGTCGACTCAAAAGGGGGAATGAGGTGCTGTTGTTCGTCCTTCTTATTTCAGGAAAGTGAGACACACAAGCACACTGCTGCTACTCACACGGACTGAGTTGACTTTTGAGTCGACTCAAAAGGGGGAATGAGGTGCTGTTGTTCGTCCTTTTTATTACAGGAAAGTGACACACACAAGCACACTGCTGTTACTCACGCGGACTGCACGAGGTAGTGAGTGTTGTTCATGAGGAACAGGTGCTGCAGCTCCTCCTCGCGGTACTTAAGGGCACGCATGTATGCGCGCACGCACTCGCACACAGAAGGCAGAGCAACCAGAGCACTGTTACTAACGCGGACTGCACGAGGTAGTGGGTATTGTTCATGAGAAACAGGTGCTGCAGTCCTCCTCGCGATACAGCCCTCCCCGATGTATTTGTGCGCACTCATGCACAGGCACACAGAAGCCTGAGCAGGCAGCGCAGGCAAAGCACTGTTACTCACGCGGACTGCACGAGGTAGTGGGTGTTGTTCATGAGGAACAGGTGCTGCAGCTCCTGCTCTCAACACACACGTGTGTGTATGTACCTGTGCTGTGCGCACACCCCTATGCATACACTACGCTTACTCACGCAGACTGCACGAGGTAGTGGGTGTTGTTCATGAGGAACAGGTGCTGCAGCTCCTGCTCTCAACACACGTGTGCGTATGTACCTGTGCTGTGCGCACACCCCTATGCATACACTACGCTTACTCACGCGGACTGCACGAGGTAGTGCGTGTTGTTCATGAGGAACAGGTGCTGCAGCTGCTCCTCGTGATACAGCCCACCGCGTGCCTCCAGATTCACCACCAGCGCACTCAGCAGGTGCGCTGTCTCACTCTCCGCACTCCGCCCGCTCCCAATTCCCATTTCCCCATCCGCCATCCCCCGCCCTCCCATCCCCCCCTCCCCAATCCCCCAATCCCCCGCCCTCCCACCCCCCTCCCTCAGAATCAGCAGGCAGAGAAGAGAAGGCGACTCACGCGGACTGCACGAGGTAGTGAGTGTTGTTCATGAGGAACAGGTGCTGCAGCTCCTCCTCGCGGTACTTAAGGGCACGCATGTATGCGCGCACGCACTCGCACACAGAAGGCAGAGCAACCAGAGCACTGTTACTAACGCGGACTGCACGAGGTAGTGGGTATTGTTCATGAGAAACAGGTGCTGCAGCTCCTCCTCGCGATACAGCCCTCCCCGATGTATTTGTGTGCGCACTCATGCACAGGCACACAGAAGCCTGAGCAGGCAGCGCAGGCAAAGCACTGTTACTCACGCGGACTGCACGAGGTAGTGGGTGTTGTTCATGAGGAACAGGTGCTGCAGCTCCTGCTCTCAACACACACGTGTGTGTATGTACCTGTGCTGTGCGCACACCCCTATGCATACACTACGCTTACTCACGCAGACTGCACGAGGTAGTGGGTGTTGTTCATGAGGAACAGGTGCTGCAGCTCCTGCTCTCAACACACACGTGTGTGTATGTACCTGTGCTGTGCGCACACCCCTATGCATACACTACGCTTACTCACGCGGACTGCACGAGGTAGTGCGTGTTGTTCATGAGGAACAGGTGCTGCAGCTGCTCCTCGCGATACAGCCCACCGCGTGCCTCCAGATTCACCACCAGCGCACTCAGCAGGTGCGCTGTCTCACTCTCCGCACTCCGCCCGCTCCCAATTCCCATTTCCCCATCCGCCATCCCCTGCCCTCCCATCCCCCCCTCCCCAATCCCCCAATCCCCCGCCCTCCCACCCCCCTCCCTCAGAATCAGCAGGCAGAGAAGAGAAGGCGACTCACGCGGACTGCACGAGGTAGTGGGTGTTGTTCATGAGGAACAGGTGCTGCAGCTCCTCCTCTCGATACAGCCCACCACGTGCCTCCAGATTCACCACCAGCGCACTCAGCAGGTGCGCCGTCTCACTCTCCGCACTCCGCCCGCTCCCAATTCCCATTTCCCCATCCGCCATCCCCGCCCTCCCATCCCCCCCTCCCCAATCCCCCAATCCCCCGCCCTCCCAACCCCCTCCCTCAGAATCAGCAGGCAGAGAAGAGAAGGCGACTCACGCGGACTGCACGAGGTAGTGCGTGTTGTTCATGAGGAACAGGTGCTGCAGCTCCTCCTCTCGATACAGCCCACCACGTGCCTCCAGATTCACCACCAGCGCGCTCAGCAGGTGCGCCGTCTCACTCTCCGCACTCCGCCCCGCGTGCTGCTGCCCTCCCCGTTTCCACTTCCCATCCCCCGCCTTCCCACCGTCTTTCCCACCATCTTTCCCGCTGTCCCCCTTCCCACCCGCCGCCTTCCCGCCGCCTGCGGCCTTCCCATCCCCCTTCGACTTGCTCCCTTTGCCGCCCTCCTTTTCTCCTTCTCCCCCATCCGCCTCTTCCTCCTCCTCGTCACTCGCTGCTCCTTGTTCCTCCAGCAGGTGAAAGAGCGAGGCGAGCACGTCGAGATAGCTGTTGTGGGTGGATGGGACGCTGCGGGGTGGAGGGGAGAGGGGCGGCGGGAGCGAAAGGCACAGGATGAGTGGGGTTGCTAGAGGCTCAAAGGCTCTCCTCCCACCCCTCCGCCCCCGCTCTTTCCCCATCCTCTCCCAGGCAGCTACAATGCGTTTTCTATCACCATGCCACGCTGATGCGTTTCCAGCAAACATACGCTGTCCCACGCACTCTGATGGGTCACAAAACCCCATGTTAAGAACACACGCACGCACGCACGCACGCACGCAACCAAACACAGACAACACACACAGCAGCACGCACCGGCGCATGTAGCTGCGGATATAGTTGGCCACGTAGCTGGTGATTGGATCAACTACTCCCCCCGGGGGCATGACGTCCTGCGTGCTCTCCTCCGCTGCTGGCGATGCCGAGGTGGTGCTCGCATTGCGACCCAGGAACGGCATTCTGCGGTGGGGGGGAATGGAGAGGGATGGAAAGGGGTGGAAAGGGATAGATAGGCATGGGATGAAGGGAATGAAGAGCAAGGGAGAAGGGAAGAATGGGGAACGGCCTGACTTAGTGCTCTCGTCTGCTGCTGGTGATGCTGATGTGGTGCTCACTGTGCGACCCAGGAACGGCATTCTGCGGTAGAAAGAGGGATAGAGAGAGGTGGAGAGGGATGGAAAGAGTGGTCACCTTTTACAGCTTGAGTTGCATGAATGCAAGAGCAAACGATCACTGCGCAACATACTTGGCTCAGGCTTATCCTGCATGCATTAACTGAACCAAGCTCAGGCTTGGCTCAGGCATAACTGAACCGCTACCTGAACAGCTTTGCGAGCGAAGCCTTCTTCTCCCCCTCCCCACCCTCCCCTCCTCCACCGCCCGCTGCCTCCCCACCGCCACCGGCGCCAGCGGCAGCACCAGAGGCAGAGGGGGAGGGGGAAGCAGAGGAGGAGGAGGAGAGCGGCGGAGCAGCGGCAGCCATGGCCTGGGCGGACTTGGTGGAGGTTTCGAGGAGTGCTTTGAAGCACCCACCCAATCAACACCACCCACGTGAACGAAACAAAAGCACCCACCTGAACAACTTTGCAAGTGATGCTTTCTTCTCCCCTTCTCCGCCCTCCCCTCCTCCACTGCCCACTGCCTCCCCAGCAGCGGCAGCAGCAGCACCAGATGCAGAGGGGGAGGGGGAAGCGGAGGAGGAGGAGAGGGGCGGGGCAGCAGCAGCCATGGCCTGGGCGGACTTAGTGGAGGTCTCGAGGAGGGCTTTGAAGCGGTCGAATGTGTCGGCCACGGCCCGCGCTATGAGCAGCGGGAGGTGCTGGCAGGCCGGCCACACCGCTTCCATCTTGAGAAGGTTGATCGTGGCGGATAGCTGGGGGAACAGGGCAGGGGGGATAGGTTTGGCAGGGGCAGAAGGGAAGGGGTTGGGAGAGGTATGCCTGATGAGCAGCGGGAGGTGCTGGCAGGCCGGCCACACCGCCTCCAATTTGAGAAGGTTGATCGTGGCGGATAGCTGCATTGGGAAACCAGGAAGGAGTGGGCCGGCATGTCTTCTTGGGCTGACTTCTTCTCGCGCGCCTCACAATTCGACAAGCATACACGCAAGCTACAAATGTAGTTTTGCTTGTTTGTTTGTTTGTTTGTTTGTTTGTTTGCTTGTTTTTGCAAAACAATATAACATAACATGAACATAAAAAATCAAGACCTACCTCTGGCATGACTTCTTGGGCAGCCCGGAAAGCATCGAGCAGCGAGAAGAGCTGCTCGGGCAGGTTGCGGGCGATAATGGCGCGGAGGATCAAGGCGTGCTCCGCTATGCGCTTGCCCATGCCGCTGTCCTCCAGTATTGCCCTCAATGCCCCGCGCTCGTGCACCTGAGGAAGGGAAGGGTGTGGGGAGGGGAGTGGAGTAGAGAGGGGAGCAGGGGAGTGCGGGGGAGGGGAGGGGAGTACGGGGTGGGTGGGTGGGGGAGGGGGGAGAAGGGGGGAGAAGGGGGGAGAAGGGGGGAGAATGGGGAGAGTCAGGAGGGGTGGGTTAGAGAAGAGAAGAGCTGCTCGGGCAGGTTGCGGGCGATAACGGCGCGGAGGATCAAGGCGTGCTCCGCTATGCGCTTGCCCATCCCGCTGTCCTCCAGTATTGCCCTCAGCGCCCCGCGCTCGTGCACCTGAGAAAAGCACACAGCGCAAGGCACACAAGAGGGGAACATGTGTCATAAGAGAACGGAGAATCAATTCGTGCTCCGCTGTGCGCTTGCCCATCCCGCTGTCCTCCAGGATTGCTCTTAGTGCTCCTCGTTTGTGCACCTGAGAGAGGGGGGAGAAAGGAAAGGGGGGGGAATGGGGAGAAGGGTGGAGGATCAAGGCGTGCTCCGCTGTGCGCTTGCCCATTCCGCTGTCCTCCAGGATTGCTCTTAGTGCTCCTCGTTTGTGCACCTGAGAGAGGGGGGAGAAAGGAAAGGGGGGGGAATGGGGAGAAGGGTGGAGGATCAAGGCGTGCTCCGCTGTGCTGTGCGCTTGCCCATCCCGCTGTCCTCCAGTATGGACCTCAGCGCCCCGCGCTCCTGAACCTGAGAGAAGTGAAGTGTAGGCGAGAATAGGAGGGAGAGAGAAGAGAAAAATAGCCGGGAGACGAGAGGAGCAGGGGGGGTAGGTGGGAGGAGGGAACATGTGGCATAACGGGGAAACCGCATGCCACATGTGGCACTGCTCCGCTATGTCCCTGCCCGCCCATGCCATGCCATGCGAATGCGACTTTTGAGTCGACTCAAAAGTCATCTCTGCTCCGCTATGTCCCTGCCCGCCCATGCCATGCCATGCGAATGCGACTTTTGAGTCGACTCAAAAGTCATCTCTGCTCCGCTATGTCCCTGCCCGCCCATGCCATGCGAATGCGGCATGCCTTCCAAAATGGCTCTCACTCTTTCAGTGTACACGGTGCTCGCTCCCATCCCATCACCAGTACCCTCTTCTAACCCAGGAAGGACCCTGCCTTTTGAGTCGACTCAAAACGAGGTGACTTTAGAGTCGACTCAAAACGAGGTGACTTTTGAGTCGACTCAAAACGAGGTGACTTTTGAGTCGACTCAAAAGTCACCTCATCACCAGTACCCTCTTCTAACCCAGGAAGGACCCTGCCCATTCACTTCACCCCTCCCTCGCCCCCTCCCCCCCGTCTCCCCTCTCACCTGCATGCCTCGCCACACGGCTGCTGCTGTCCTCCTCTCCATGCCCAGGAGCAGACGACCCTGCGAAGAGGAGGGGGGGAAACGTCGAGAGAGGGGGGAGGAGGGGAGAGGGTGGAGGGAGAGTTGGGGAGGGAGGAGGAGAGAGGGAGAGGGAGGGGGAGGGGAGGAAGAGGGGGAGGGGGGAAGGAGCGGGGATGGAGGGAGAACGAGGGGAAAAGATGGAAATTGACACTCGTCGTGATTGCGTCGTTGGGAGGGGCGGGTAGGGGAAGCAAATGCCGCAACAAACAAACACCCAGCACCCAGCACCCACCACCCAGCACCCACCACCCAGAACCCACCCACGCACCAGAATGTACATGTCCTGAGTCCACTGCTTACTCAGCAGCTCTAGCTCCGCCCATGGCCACAGCATGTTCAGAAGACCACTCACTACCCAGCACCACCCAGCACCCAGCACCCAGCACCGCACACCACCACCCACCACCACTCAAAATCACCGCCCGCGCACCAGAATGTACATATCCTGAGTCCACTGCTTGCTGAGCGGCTCCAGCTCCGCCCATGGCATGTCTGCGATCTGCCCTGCCGTCACCATCCACGGCCTCTCGCTCTCCAGCCGCTGCAGCGCGCCTTTCAGGCTGTCCACCCGCACCGACCTGCACGTGTGGGCGAGACGAGAGGCGGGCGGGGTAGGAGGGAAAAAGGGCACGCGAGTGATCTGCTCTGCCCTGCTGTCACCATCCACGGCCTCTCGTTCTCCAGCCGCTGCAGCGCGCCTTTCAGGCTGTCCATCCGCACGGACCTGAAAGTGTAGTGCGGGGGAGATGAGTAAGAGCGAAGGGCAGACGAGAGGCGGGGAGGGCATGTGATCTGCTCTGCCCTGCTGTCACCATCCACGGCCTCTCGCTCTCCAGCCGCTGCAGCGCCCCCTTGACTTGAGGCTGTCCACTCGCACCGACCTGAATGAACGTGTGCGAAAGGAAGGGAAAGAAGCGCCGTATCCATCTGTAGGGATTTTTGGAGAATTCTCATAACATCCCTGAAAGGAAGGGAAAGAAGCGCCGTATCCATCTGTAGGGATTTTTGGAGAATTCTCAAAACATCCCTGAAAGGAAGGGAAAGAAGCGCCGTATCCATCTGTATGCAGTCAACTGAGTCCACACCACATGAGCCAATCAAAAAGCACCTCAGCCAGCCCCACATGAGCACATGAGTTCAATCTCCATCCATCCACCTGAAAGCCCACCTGAAATCAACCAAATCCACCTGAGCCCACCTGAAGGCCTCCACACAGCGCACGCTCTCCCCTCCCGCCACCAGCCGGGCGGCCGTCTGGTTCAGCCACCGGGCGGCAATTTCTGGCAGCACATGCAGCGAATCCGCATCCTCCAACTCCCCCTCATCCAACCCCCCCATCCCCTCCCCGCTGTCACCACCCTCCCTTCCGCCCCCTCCCCCACCTCCCACTCCCCCTGTGCTGTTCCTGCTGCTGCTAGCGCTGGTACCCCCTGTCACGCCGCTCTCAGGGGAGCTGCTGCTGGTGCTGACGCTGCTGGTTGCGGCAGCAGCAGCTGCAGCAGCGGCGGTGGTGGTGGCGGCAGGTGGGTAGAAGTTGCGCTGGAAGATCCGAGAGAGAGTATCCACAGTGAAGCGAGTGGATGCTTGCTGGCTGGCGTGGGGAGGGGTGTGTGTGGGAGGGAAGGGCAAGAGAAGAAGCAAAGGGAAGGGGAAGGGGATGAGAGAGGGCATGGAACAAGGTGGCAGCAGTAGCAGCGGCGGCGGTGGTGGTGGCAGCAGGTGGGTAGAAGTTGCGGTGGAAGATCCGAGAGAGAGTATCCACAGTGAAGCGAGTGGATGCCTGCTGGCTGGTGTGGGGAGGGGTGTGTGTGGGGAGGGGGGGAGGGCAAGAGAAGTTGCGGTGGAAGATGCGGGAGAGAGTATCCACAGTGAAGCGAGTGGATGCCTGCTGGCTGGTGTGAGGGTAAAGGGGAAAGGGGAGGGTGATGCGCAACATAAAGGAAATAAGGGGTTCATGACATGACACAAGACAGTAGCAGCAGCAGCAGCAGCAGCAGCAGCAGCAGCAGCAGCAGCAGCAGCAGCAGCAGCAGCAGCAGCAGCAGCAGCAGCAGGAGCAGCATAACACCTCACCTCCGTCTCGACAGAACGCCCCTGAATTCGTACTCCAGGCCCTCCATCCACAGGAGGCAAGAGATCAACGGATCTCCCCCTCAGCATCCGTCAAACGGCAGTTCTACCTCCCCCTCAGCATAACATCTCACCTCCGTCTCGACAGGATGTCTCTGAATTCGTACTCCAGGTCCTCCATGGCCCGCTGAAGCATGCCTTGTCTGACAAGAGGTTAAAGAGCCTGCAGGTTGAAGAGCCTGCAGGTTAAAGAGCCTGCAGGTTAAAGAGCCTGCAGGTTAAAGAGCCTGCAGGTTAAAGAGCCTGCAGGTTAAAGAGCCTGCAGGTTAAAGAGCCTCCGTCTGGCCGACCTGCATCTGAGCAGAGCACAGACGCAGAGCGCCTCACCTCCGTCTCGAGAGAATGTCTCTGAACTCGTACTCCAGGTCCTCCATGGCCCGCCGGAGCATGCCGTGCTGTGGGGTTGGCTTGTGGCATGCTGCTGCTGTGGGTGGGCTGGCCCTGCTTATGACATACGGAGCTCCTCACCTCCGCCTCGACAGAATGTCTCTGAACTCGTACTCCAGGTCCTCCATGGCCCGCCGGAGCATGCCTAGTAACAACCGCATGCCATGAGCCAAACCCACAGCGGCAGCATGGCACAAGCCAATCCCACAGCACAGCGCCTCACCTCCGCCTCGAGAGAATGTCTCTGAACTCGTACTCCAGGTCCTCCATGGCCCGCCGGAGCATGCCGTCCGCGCGCCGCCCGGTCTCCTTGTCGCGGGCCTCCAGCAGCAGCGCCCTGACACTCAGCAGAAGATCGATGGCGGGCAGGTACTCGTCCAGCTTGCAGTGCGGCCCCTCCTCTATGAACGCGTCCATCTGAGGGAGAAGAGACGGGAGGGGAAATGTGGGGGACTTGTGATGAAAGGAGAGGCTTGGGCAAGACAGCAGCAGCGCTCTGACGCTGAGCAGCAGATCAATGGCCGGCAGTTACTCGTCCAGCTTGCAGTGCGGCCCCTCCTCTATGAACGCGTCCATCTGAGGGAGAAGAGACGGGAGGGGAAATGTGGGGGACTTGTGATGAAAGGAGAGGCTTGGGCAAGACAGCAGCAGCGCTCTGACGCTGAGCAGCAGATCAATGGCCGGCAGTTACTCGTCCAGCTTGCAGTGCGGCCCCTCCTCTATGAACGCGTCCATCTGAGGGAGAAGAGACGGGAGGGGAAATGTGGGGGACTTGTGATGAAAGGAGAGGCTTGGGCAAGACAGCAGCAGCGCTCTGACGCTGAGCAGCAGATCAATGGCCGGCAGTTACTCGTCCAGCTTGCAGTGCGGCCCCTCCTCTATGAACGCGTCCATCTGAGGGGAGGGGAATGGGGCCGGTAATAAGGGCATGCCTGGTCAATGGCCATTATGCATGCACTGCGTTCAAACTCAGCAGCAGCATGTGGATGGCAGGTAGGTACTCGTCCAGCTTGCAGTGCGGCCCCTCCTCTATGAACGCGTCCATCTGAGTTTATGGCAGGGAGGGGAGGGTAAGGAAGGGGGGTGGGGAATAAGGCGACACATGGGCACGACTGCACTCAGCAGCAGCAGGTCGATCGATGGGTGAGCAGCAGCAGCAGCAGCAGCAGCAGCAGAGCGTGGGGTGGGGTGGAGTGGGGTGTAACAGGACCATGGATGGCCGGAAGGACTAGGGTGATAGGGGCTCATCCCCCAACACACAACACCGTTTTCCGAGGCGTCTCAAAGATGCGGGCATGGCAAGTCAGTAAGAGCAAGAGCTTGATGGCAGGCAGATACCTGATCTAGCAGCTCCACCACTCTTCACTGTGAGATGGGCTCATCTCCCAACACCTTTGACTCATAATACACGTCATCATCCTCCTCCCCTTGGAAGCTCATAGCTGATCCGACCATCCCCTAGTGGCTGCATCTAGCATATCCTGATCTAGCAGATCCACCTCTCGCCGCCTTGAGATGGGCTCATCCCCCAACACATTGGACTCTTGAGTCCACTCAAAGGCCACAAAGCGCGCCCCTCGTTTGTGAATGCCATCGTACCTGATCCAGCAGCTCCACCAGTCGTCGCCATGAGATGGGCTCATCCCCCAACACCTTTGACTCGTAATACACGTCATCCTCCTCCCTCCTTTCTCCTATTTCGACTCAAAACCCGGTCATCCCCCTAGTGGCCGCATCCATCGTACCTGATCCAGCAGCTCCACCACTCGTCGCCTTGAAATGGGCTCATCTCCCAACACCTTGGACTCATAATACACATCTTCATCATCCTCCCCTTCTCCTTCCCCTTCCTCCTCCTCCTCTTCATCCTCTTCCTCCTCTTCTTCCTCCTCTGCCTCCTCCCCCTCCTCCTCCTCTTCTTCCTCCTCCTCCTCTTCCTCCTCCTCTTCCCCTTCTGAGAACTCCTCCCCTTCACTGTGCGTTTCTCTCACCCATCCCTCGTCATACCCCCCTCCACTCGCACCACTCTCCCCCCCACCTCCCCTACTCCCCCTCCTGCTCCCACCACTGCTGCCGCCACTGCTATCCCTCCTGCTTCTCCTGCCTGTAACCGCTACAGCCGAGTCCCTTGGTCCGCCAGGGGTGGACTGGGACTTGGGGAAAGCCGCTGCTGCTACAGCCGCACCAGAGCTGCCGCCTCTGGGGTTACCTGCGCGCCTGTTACCACCAATAGGGTTACCACCATAACCACCCATTGCCATTCCTGCTGCTGCTGCTGCTCTTCCTCCTCCTGCTGCTGGCGACGTGTGGGAGTGTTGGTGGTGGTATTGCTGGTGCTGCTGCTGCTGCTGGTGCCATTCCTGCTGTCCTGGCTCGGACGCCTCCGAACCATACGGGTACTCCTCTCCCGAGCCTAACACCGAGGCTTGGTACAGGGACCCTTGAGGGGAGCCCACAGGTGAAATTTCAGGTGAATCCACAGGTGTTCTCAACGGAGTGCGGTTGCTGGGACGAACAGCAGGCAGCGCCACCCTACCAGGACCTGCCATCACAGCCCCAGCCACCATCAGTGGAATTGAAGATGCATCGAAACCCTCAACCCTTTCTCCTCCTCCTCCCCCTCCTGCGCCCCCTCTTCCCCCAGCCTGCCCCCCTGCTCCTGCTGCTCCTGCTGTTCTAAAAGAGAACCCATCGGGAGAGGACGGGGAAAACTGGTCAGCATAGGGATAAGCCTGCTGCTGCTGCTGATGCTGGTGGTGCTGGGCAGAAGGAGAGTATTCCTGCTCTTCCAAACCTCTGTAGCTTGGAGACATGTCCGGCGTCTGGTTCGGCGAGTGCTCAGGGGTTTGGTCCGGGGTTAGGTTCGGGGACCGGTTGGAGGAATGGTGAGAGGAGCGCACAGGAGACGATTGGCCAGGGGAACTGATGGGAGAGTGGTCTGACAGTGGGTCCGGGGATCGGTGAGAGGATCGGACAGGAGACCGCTCAGGAGAATGTTCAGGTGAATGTTCAGGCGAGGAATCTGTTGGCGACAGATCGGACTCTCCCCGGCCGCCTCTGTTCCCCCTATTGCCTGATCCGCTAAGGTAAACACCCACCTCGTCAACCACAGGAACGCCTATACTCCCTGCTCCTGACCTTCTTCCCCCACTCGACCCTCCTGCTTTCCTGCTTCCCCCATGCGCCCCCCCTCTATAGTCATCCTCGTAGGGCTCTCTCGCCTCGTGGTGGTCGCGCCCCCTACTGGAACGCTTGCTTGAGTCACTTTTGGTGCTCGACGTGCGACTGGCGTGCCTCTGTGGGGAGAGGAGGGAGGGGAGGAGAGGAGAGGAAGGAGGGGGAAGGGAAAGTGCTAATGATCAGACGAACGGGGTGTGTGCAGTGCAGTGCAATGCGGTGAAATACATTTGGCTCCTCACATGTGCATCAGTGTCACTTGATGCGTGCTGTTCAATGCTGCTGCCGCTGCTGCTGCCGCTGCTGCTGCCCACCTGATTACGACCACAATCACCCGCGCGGCTCACCTGCAAGCGACCCATGCTCACATGCGAGACGTCTCAAGAATCTCAAGCCTTTGAGACGTTTCACAACACAGGCGCCCGCGCGGCTCACCTGCGCGGCTCAACCGCGCGGCTCACCTGCGATCCGCGCTCCTCCATTGACGAGCACGACGGCACGCCGTGCCTCCCGGAGCTCCTCCCCTCCTTCCCTGCTTCTCCATGCCTCCTCTCCCTCTCCCTCTCCCTCTCCCTCTCTCTCTCCCTCTCCCTCTCTCTGTCCCTGTCCTTGGGTCTATCCCGCTCCTTCTCTCTTCGGCCTTCCCTCTCTCTTTCCATCTCTCCGTCCCTGCCTCTCTCCCGCTCCCGCACTCTATCGCTCTTCCGTTCCCTATCCCTATCCCTATCCTTCACCTCGTAGTCCCTATCCCTGCCTCGCTCCCGCTCCCTATCCTTATCTCTGTCCCGCCTGTCCCGATCCTTCCCTTCTCTCTCCCTCCGTTCTCTGTCCCGACTGCCGTCGCGATCCCCCTCAAATCGCTCTACCTTCTCTCTCGTCCTCTCCCGCTCCCTGTCCCTGTCCCTGTCCCTGTCCCTGTCCCTGTCCCTGTCTCTGTCCCTGTCCCTGTCTTTATCTCCCTCGCGATAACGATCCCTATCCTTAACCTTATCTTTAGAACCTTTATCTCTCAGCCTCTCGCGCTCTCTCTCTTCGTCCCTGTCCCTATCGCGGCTGCCGCTGCTTCTCCTATACTCCTTATCCCTATCCCTATCCTTAGTTCTATCCCTATCCCTATCCCTGTCCCTGTGTCTGTCTCTGTCCCGGTCCTTATCCCTAACTCGATCCCTATCCCTATCCCTGTCCCTGTCCCTATCTCTGTCCCTATCCTTTCCGCGACCGCTTTCGCTAGACCTTTCGCTAGACTTATCGCTGAACCCAGTCACTCGCCCGGCCTTATCCTTGCTGTCCCGCGACCTTCCCGCTTTTCCATGGCTGCCAGTTACCGGCGGTCGCACGTCCCACGCTTCCGGCGAAACGTCGCCATCGTCGTCGTCGTCGTTGTAACGGTCCATGGTAACCCTAAAGTAGTAAAGCTGCCTTTCACTGGTTCTCGGGATATAGCATCAAAAGGTTCAAAAGCTGACAGTGGTTGCTCTTAAATAAAGACGTATCGGTTACGAGAGTTTAATGTACGCAACGGGAAAGACGTGGTTTTAGAGACGTTGGCCAAATGAAGCAAGACAATGCTGCGTTCTTGCATTACTTAAGCGCGTCGAAATGCGCAAAACTCAAACTCGTGCCGTATCACACTCTTAAACGTTAACTAGTACTCTTCTAGCGCTCGTGTTGGTGCTCGTAGGTGTTCGGTGTGTGACAAAAAGCGAATAGCTGCACGATACTAATAACTAAAAGCTTCTCTAGAGCAATGTGTATCCCAGTGACACAATCCAAAACTCGTGCTCGCCTAGCCTTGCCCGAGCTGTAATCTTGTTCGTACACCAACAGTAATGCCTACCAGTGAGAGTTTCTGCACTATCATTCGGCATGGCATTTTCTTCGCCTCGATTGACCGATTTCCGATGCGCAGGGTGTTCGGAAATCAGAAATTAAGGCCAAGGAACGCCCGTAACGGCTACTCCTCCTGCGTTACAGTTTCCGCGCCTGAAAAGTACAGCTGGGGCAAACCAGTTTCGATATAACAAGCCAGGGTTTTACACATACGCCTTACGGTAATTTCAGAGGAAAACAGAAATTGAGAACTAGGCCTGACTCAGCAGCCACATCATCTAAGGCAATCAACCTAAATGGTAAGAAAAATCCCCATACTGAAACATCACAATTTCAGTCTGTGAATATCTCATGACCTGCTGAAAAACCCAGCGGCAGACCTACATATTATCTGCTCTGAGAGCATGGTTTTTTCCCACCACAGCCACACCACACTCAGAGCAACGTGCCTCCTGCATTGCTTGAACGTGCCTCCTGCATTGCTTGACCACAATCCCCATCATATACACATGCACATTGCGGCACCAGTACCAGTGACCCCCTCCCAAGACCATAGCTTCAAACCCCGTTAAAGAAGCCAGTGGCCGGGGCGTTACCTTCACGAAGCCTATGGCTCCTCCCACCCACAACCTCCCCACACTCAGGGCACCGGGACTCCTGCATTGCACCACCACACTCCCCAATTGCATACACATGCCCATTGGGGCACCGGTACCAGTGAACGCCTTCCATATCCATGGCCTTCCACACATCTGCCTTCTCACGTTCTGACACATCAAAGTACCTGGGACTGTCACGAACAGATGCTTCCAGATCGTGCAAGTCTTTCTCGAGCATTCTCCGAGCGCTCCCCCCCAAACTATCGTTCTCTCTGACTGAGACCAGATGATGCGAGGCCACCATGTGGCACAACATCTTGGCCCTCTTGAGATACTCCAGCTGCTGCTCCTTTGACTCATCCTGCCACACAAAGTGCACATGTGATTCGTCATAAGCCATAAATGTGTGGAAGGGTAAAGGAAAGGAGCGGGGAGGGAGAGGGAAAGAGGAAGCTTTGGTGGGGAGGAGAAGAGGCAGACGAGGATGAATTCAGTGAACTGTTCTCACTAGGCCAGCCAGGGACATTGAGAGAATGCGTTCCGCCCCATCATCCCTTCCACAAATGCACGGAACACATCGGCCAGCTCCAGCCTCCCCTTCGCCTGTTTTGACTCGACTAAAATGAAAAGAAAGCACACCGGGACAGGAGCAGAGTTCTCACCAGGCCAGCCGGGGAGGTTGAGAGCAGGCGTTCCGCCATCATCCCCTCCACGAACGCACGGAACACGTCAGCCATCTCCAGCCTCCCCCTTGCCTCCAGCCGAGGCGCCCTGCGCTTGCCAGCCCACTCCACCGCCTCCCCCACATGCTTCTCTGCGTTCCGCAGCCCCTTCCGCACAACCTCCCGGCAACTCTTCAACCTCCGAGCCAGAAACTCCTCTCTACCCGCGCTGTTCTGATCAATCCGCCCAGCAGCCAGACCAGCAGCCTGAGCAGCAGTCAGCCCAGCAGCTCGATGAGCAGTCTGGCGAGACAGCTTGCGGAGTTCAGTCAGCAGGCAGCGCAGCTGGAGGAAATTGGCAGTCATGAGTAGCTGATAGGCCTTCCCCAGCAGCAGGAGGGCTTCACAAAGAGGCCCGGTTTGTGGCTGGGGGACGTACAGCAGCTGGCACTCCTCCTCCCACGCTGGCACTGTCAAACCTGCAGGAGAATCTGCAGGTTGTTTTTCAGGAGAATCATCAGGTGCATCTGCAGGTGAATCTGCAGCACCTGCTCGAGACAAGGATGACGATGCTCCCAGCTGGAGGTGCTTTCTCTGCAGCGCAGTAACAGAAGCCTGGTAAGTCTGCTGGGTGGGTGGTTCCATACCAGTCACTCGCACCTTGCTAGCCTGCACGACCAGTGAAGTCGCAGCTTTAGCCAGCTCCTGCAACTGCCTGGGTTGAGCAGCCTCAGGGCAAGCAGATATGGCTTGGCTTAGCCTGGACAGCTTCTGGTGGAGCTGCTGCTGATCTGCCAGGCAGCTGAGGGCGAACTTGCGCTCTGATTCGTCGAGAAGCGCCTTGTTCACCATCCTGCCGTACCGGCGGAGGCTTGTGATTGGCTGCCGGCACTCCGGACAGCCCTTGAGGGCGGACAGGTCGCCATCCTCAAACGGCCGCACTGCCACCCACTTGGATGCAGATCCTCCCACCCCGCCTGCAGATCCTGCCACCCCGCCTCCAGCCCCCACTCCAGCAGCATTGCTGCCACCACCACCAGCAGACCCGTCTTCTTCCTCTTCTGCTTCTTGGTAAACCTGATTCAGCCCCAGGTGACCGTCTAGGGTCTCCACAGTGTAAGCATGACCGCATGGCAGCACCAGCACAGGGCTTTCATCTGGATCGATCTCCCCTAGCGTCTCCAGAGTGACTAGATCCACTGTCATCTCCCTCTTCTCCTCCTCCCCACACCCTTCAACCGTGCAGAACCCCTTCGGAGGGCATTTTTCCGAGCAGAGGGACGGGCACTGGTGGCCGCATTTGAGTTTTTTCTCGCACCGCTGCTCGCACGGGAGGCGGTCGCAGGGGGCGCCGCAGGGGAGGGAGCACCGGCCCTGGTGCTTGCAGTGCCACCCGCAAGGCTCGGCGCAGGGCGCGCAGGTTCGGTGGCAGGGCTGGGGGCAGGAGCTGTGCTGGCAGGCCACGAGGCACTTTCTGGTGCAGGGCTTGCAGGGCGTGCCGCTGTGGCAGGGGTCCGGGCAGAGGTGCGCACAGGGGTGGGGCCGCTTGCATGGCTGTGTGCACTTCTTGTGGGTTTTCTCCAGCTGCTGCTGCTGCTGCTGCTGCTGCGGCTGCTGCTGCTGCTGATTCGGCGGCTGCTGCAAGCCCCGCCCCTGGTTGGTGGTAGTAGGTGGAGCAACGATGCAGTGGCCGCAGGGGGAGATGCATGTGTGCCCGCATGAGTCTGAGAGGAAAACACCGCAGCGAGCAGTGCAGTGCTTGGGGTTGGCTACTCTGATGGCGGCCTCGCCACACTTGACTGTCTGCTTGTGGCCGCACAGTGGCATCGTGACCTCTACCATCGTCCTGTAATGGTTAGATTAGCAACAAGAACAGACATGAGAACCCCACGACCCAACAAAGTGAGCAAAGGGGAGAAACAGCGAAACAGTAAATGATGGGGAAACAGGATGCGGCCAGGAGGGCAAGGAAACCTCGAGCAGAACATAGAAGAAGGATATTCAAGCCTCGAAGCACAGGACATTGAACGCTTGATGGCTGCAGGGGAGTGGTTTTCGAGAACTCTCAGGAACCGGAGAAAAGGGAGTGGTGCTTTTAAGAGACTCACGAGCAGAAGATAGAAGTGGGATTCTGAGCCTTGAAGCAGGGGACGTTGAAGGCCTGATGGCCGCAGGGAAGCGTGAGTGCCCGGATGGTGACGAGGCAGGGCCCACAGTCCTCGCCACACTGCTTGGGGCACGTGTGCTGGTGCGGACACTCGTCCAAAGGACGGATGCGGTTGCACTCCTTGGGGCAGAATGCATTGGCGTGTGCCCTGTCGTCACCATGGCACCTGTCGGACAAGGATTCGAGACCAAAAAGGGTAAATGTTGCAAATTTTAAGACAAATGTGCTGGTGAGGCCACTCCTCTACGAGCCGGCTGCGGGCGCACTCCTTGGGGGGCAGGATGCGTTTGCATGCGCTCTGTCATCGCCACGGCACCTGTTGGGCGAAGAAAGGAAGGCAGGAGATGATTTATGAAACCCTTTTGTAGAAAAAGATGGAATTCAGTTTCTGAGCTTGGAAGAACGACATAAAACACCAGCTGCATGCACATAACTGGTTTGGACGACTGCAGCATACGCTGCATGCATGTATCTCAGACAGCAGTCGCAGATATGTGCATGTATGAGTTTCTGACCTGCGGGGGCAGGTATGGCCGCAGGGAGTGAGCCGGAAGCCGCACATCTGGGAGCATCCGCCCTCGCTGGCCTTCTCCTTGAACTCCCCCGCTCTCTCAATGTGCGTGACCGTGTCCGGGTGGTTCACACAGCGCAGCGGGATGAACTTCTGCACGCGCCCCTTGCTCTGCAGCATGTCCATGATCCGAGGCCAGAGCACGGATTTAGATGCAGATGCCCTCATGGTGCTGGCATTGCCTGCTCGAAAGGAGGAGGGTTGGTGGGGAAGCGGAAGAAGGGAAGGTTATTCCAACACACACACACACACACACCCAAACATGCACACAGCATAGAGGTACATGTCATGCACTCCAGCATCGCGTACATGCCATGCAATGTAATCGTTTTTTAGAAACCATCGCAAGCTGTACCTTTTGTGCGCACATTTTCTCATGCCGTGCTGCACTGCTCTTACCAATTATGTACATGCCATGCACTCACCAACGATGTACATGCCATGCTTGGCGCGGGACAGCAGCACGTTGCTGCTGCATGCAGTGCTACATCCGCAGTACCCATCAGCATCACACCTATGACTCACCAACGATGTACATGCCGTGCTTGGCGCGGGACAGCAGCACGTTGGTGCGGTTGGGGCTCTTGAGGAACCCGATCTTGCCATCCACGTTGTTCCGCACGAGGGAGATGATGATCACCGTGCTCTCCTCGCCCTGGAAGCTGCACAGGTTCCAGTCGGGCATGAAGAAAAACAAATGAATACATCAACACACCTCATAGGACTGTTCCTCCTCTCTGTTGCTCTACACAAACCCTCCATTCTGTTCCATCCATGCACTCACTTGTCAACAATGGCTGGCCGAACTGCATCCTTCAATATCGCCGTAACAGCTTTAGGCACAACAAACTCGCTGCCCCTTCCCCATCCCCAGCTCCTTTCCCTGCCCGGTCCTCTTCCACTAAATCCTGCTTATGAGAAACACTCACTTGTCAACAGTGGCCAGCCGAACCGCATCCTTCAGATTCGCCGTGACTGCCTTCGGCGCAGCAAACTCCAGACCCAACCCCTTCCCCTTCCCTACCGCCGCCCCACCCCCAGCCTCCTCCCCCGCAGCTCCACCTTCCCTAGTACCCGCCTTCTCCTCTGCCTTCTCCACCTCCTCATCATCCCCCTCCCCCAGTCGCACGTTCACCACCTGAGAAAGCGCCTGGCGCAGCTTCAGCAGCTGCCCGACATAGGGCGTGAGGATGGTGATCTCTCCTCCCGTGTACCCCTGCTGCAGCAGGTAGGTTGCGAGCGCGACCACCATGGCTGCCTCGCCCGCGTTGGACTTGGACTTGCCCTCCCTCAGGTCGTCCAAGCCACTCTCGGGAAAGTCGTGGTCCCAAAAATGGAGATTCGCCGCCATGCCCCTCACGTCTGGGTACCTGGGGAGAGGAGGGGGTGTATTTGGGAGGGAGTGATGGAGGGAGGGAGGGAGGGAGGGAGGGAGGGAGGGAGGGAGGGAGGGAGGGAGGGAGGTGGGGAGGGAGGGAGGGAGGGAGGGAGGGAGGGAGGGAGGGAGGGAGGGAGGGAGGGAGGGAGGGAGGGAGGGAGGGAGGGAGGGAAGGAGGGAGGGGAGGAGGAGGGAGCGACGGAGGGAGTGAGTGAGGGAGTGAGTAAGTGAGTGGGGGAGTGAGTGAGGGAGTGAGGGATGGAGCTATGTGAGAGCTATTGGGACAACACACACCTTAACAGCACATACGCACGTCACATGCCCTTGCACGAATGGGTGGTCTCTGAGAACCGGGTAGATGGTGTATCGGATAAGGTCCGCAATTTCTGGGCGCATGCGGCGCCGCGTGGCGAGCGTGTAGACAGCAGGCATGTCAGTCAGTCAGTCAGACAGTGAGTCAGACACAAGGAAGAACGTACCCTTGGACGAAAGGGTGGTCCCTAAGGTCAGGGTAGATAGTGTAGCGGATGAGGTCGGCGATTTCCGGGCGCATGCGGCGCTGCGTGGCGAGCGTGTAGACGGGGATCTGCCGGGAGAGCGCGAGGCGCTCAAAGAGAGAGACGTCCAGGTCGAAGCCCTTGTGGGAGTCCTTGCTCAGCTCGTACACTTCAACCTTGGGCCGCAGCTGCAGATGATCGCCTGTGAATTGGGAAGGATGCAAGACACACACGTGGATAGGGCATGAATGCAGGGGCCGGGTGGGTCCTTGCTCAGCTCGTACACCTCCACCTTGGGCCGCAGCTGTAGGTGGTCGCCTGGCATGTTCCAAGGGGATGAACAGAGGGAAAGGAATCCAACAAAGGGATGAGATGATCAACAAGAGAGTCCTTGCTCCGCTCGTAGACTTCAACCTTGGGCCGCAGCTGCAGCTGCAGCTACCCATGACCACTGAGGTACCCGCAACAACAACCACAGGCTACAGCCCATGCCATACCTATGAGAATAACGTGCTGGTTCTGCGGGGTGAGCGAGGTCAGAATATGAGCTTCGAGCACCTCAGCAGCCTCCTCCACGATGATGACTCGCGGGCCCGACTCCACACAGAAACCCATCCCCGACCCCAACCAGGAATGCACCAACAGCTCGTGCCATCCCGTACCTATGAGAATAACGTGCTGGGTCTGCGGGGTGAGCGAGGTCAGAATATGAGCCTCCAGCACCTCAGCAGCCTCCTCCACGATGATGACGCGCGGGCCGAGTGCCGTGATGAGGCGCTGCATCTTGGCCACCCCAGACGTGGTCATGCCCACCACCTGCGCCCTCCTCAGCACCTGCAGGTCCTCCACTTGCTGCAGCTCACTGCGCTCCCTCACCTTCCTGCACGTTTCACATACAGGCACCAGCAGATGGGCACGCGCGCACACCACACACGCACACAGAAGAACTAAGAATGGCTGTCTGTGTGGGTGGGACCAGATTGAATATCAACCACACCACCTGCGCCTTCCTCAGCACCTGCAGGGTCCTCCACCTGCTGCAGCTCACTGCGCTCCCTCACCTTCCTACATCACCAGCCAGATGCACACGCACAATGGAAACCCACGTGCCCACGTGCCGAGAAAAGCTTAGGGTCACAATGTGAGATTCCCTTGCAGGTCCTCCACCTGCTGGCGCTCACTGCGCTCACTGCACTCAGTCACCTTCCACCAGCAGCACACACACCTGGAGTAATTCACCACCTCGGCCTCGATGGCAGCAGTGGCAGTGGCGCGCAGCTCCCCCACCCAGCACTGCCACGCCACAGACACACCTTGTGCAATTCAACTCATCACCACCACCACCAGCACACACACCCTTTACCTGGAGTAATTCGCCACCTCGGCCTCGATGGCAGCAGTGGCAGTGGCGCGCAGCTCCCCCACCCAGAACGCCACCAGCTTCCTCCTCTCCCGCCCACTCGCTGCCCACGGGTCCTCCAACCCCAACAGCTCCTCTACCCCGCGGTCACTTCTCTCATCCACCTCCGGTCCCGTCCACACCTCCTCCTCCTCCACCACCTCTGCCTCCCCTCCCATGCTCCTGTGCTCCTGCCTGTCGCCTTTCTTCCCCTTGCTGCCTTGGATTTTTTGAGTCGACTCAAAAATCCCCTTGCTGCCTTGGCTTCCCCTGCTGCCAGTGTCTCCGTCAGGTTGATTTGTGCCTTGGCCTTGTCTGCCGTTGTTGTAAATGCTCAAGTCACCGAACGCGTGTGAGAGATCCTGCTCCATGGGGAACCCTCCTGCCCCTCCTGCCCCTCCTGCCCCGCCTGTTCCTCCTGCTCCTCTCGCTCTCCCTGACGGCACAAGGCCTAGCCACGAGTTGTCAAGGCCAGTGCCTGCCACTCCATCCCCACCACCACTGCCATCCTCCTCATAGAAAGTAGCCATCATGCCCACCATTTCGCTCAGCTCCTCACTCACTCCGCCGTCCCTCGCACTGCTTGCACCCGCCCACCCATCCCCAACCTCCAGCTCACCAAGAAATCCCAGGGCATCAAATGCGTTCTGTGTGCCCGCCTGTTGTCCAGACGCTGCTATCCCCACTCCCCCTACTCCCCCTCCCCCTCCCTGCGAGGGCATTCCCGCCCTTCCACCCCCTCCTCCTCCTCCTCCCTTCCCCCTGCCTGATACATGAGCCTGATCCCCCCAGGAATCAGCAGCACCCTTCTTGCGGCGAAGGGTTTCCTTGGGAAGACCTTGCTTCCACCGCTTCCAGTTGTCTCGCCCCACTTGCTGTCAATTGAACAGAGGAAAGGGACCAAGAGAACGAGGTGCAATGGTCAAACGCAGGTGGTGCAGAAGAAGAGGGGGTGGTTTGCCAGGAGGTGGGAGGAAATGTGGCGCCATGTCACACCCACCCATCCGTCCTTCCACCCTCCCAGTCACCCACCCATTCACCCACATCACACACTAACCTCAAACCCGTCGCTGTCTACCTTGCTGACAGTGCCAAGGGCCTGGAAGAAGAGCGGGTGGTTAGCCATGCGGTAGGGGGCGATGGAACGCCACGCCACACCCGCCCATCCGTCCTTCCACCCTCCCTCACACACACCTTCTTACCTCAAACCCGTCCTTGTCTGCCTTGCTGACGGTACGGAGGGCCTGGAAGAAGACGGGGTGGTTGGCCATGAGGTGGGAGGAAATATAACCCCACGCCACAGGCCCGCCCTTCTACCCATCCACACACACACACGCTTACCTCATAACCATCAGCATCTGCCTTGCTGACAGTACGGAGGGCTTGGAAGTAGACGGGATGATTGGCCATGAGGTGGGAGGCGATAGTACCCCACGCCACAGCCGCCACGTTGTCGCTGCGCTGCTGCAGGGCGTCACTGTACGTGCCTATCACCTCCTCCACCTCCCTTAGCTTGCTTCCCACCTCGTAGCTCGACTGCCTGTACGCTGCTCACACACACCGACAGACGCACACACACACACAAACATGACTTGTCGGGTAATTGAGAAAGAGCCCAATCTTCACAATACAAGTAGTTCGTTTGTGTCACAAGTTTCCAGATCAAGGCATATCAACAGTAGAAAAAAAAAAAAAAAAAAAAAAAAGGGAGGAATTAGTGCCATGCAGTGCTGTGGTGCTCACTTCTTCTTGATGCCGCTGGCGATGAGGCCTTCCAGGAACTGATCCAGAGCGTGGTTGGTGAAGCACACGCACAGGATGGGACTTGCAGGAGGGATGGGACTCTCTACCCAGCCATCCCAGCACGAACCTGCAAAACTTTTCAACTCACGTTCTTGATGCCGCTGGCGATGAGGCCTTCCAGGAACTGATCCAGAGCGTGGTTGGTGAAGCACACGCACAGGATGGGACTTGCAGGAGGGATGGGACTCTCTACCCAGCCATCCCAGCACGAACCTGCAAAACTTTTCAACTCACGTTCTTGATGCCGCTGGCGATGAGGCCTTCCAGGAACTGATCCAGAGCGTGGTTGGTGAAGCACACGCACAGGATGGGACTTGCAGGAGGGATGGGACTCTCTACCCAGCCATCCCAGCACGAACCTGCAAAACTTTTCAACTCACGTTCTTGATGCCGCTGGCGATGAGGCCTTCCAGGAACTGATCCAGAGCGTGGTTGGTGAAGCACACGCACAGGATGGGACTTGCAGGAGGGATGGGACTCTCTACCCAGCCATCCCAGCACGAACCTGCAAAACTTTTCAACTCACGTTCTTGATGCCGCTGGCGATGAGGCCTTCCAGGAACTGATCCAGAGCGTGGTTGGTGAAGCACACGCACAGGATGGGACTTGCAGGAGGGATGGGACTCTCTACCCAGCCATCCCAGCACGAACCTGCAAAACTTTTCAACTCACGTTCTTGATGCCGCTGGCGATGAGGCCTTCCAGGAACTGATCCAGAGCGTGGTTGGTGAAGCACACGCACAGGATGGGACTTGCAGGAGGGATGGGACTCTCTACCCAGCCATCCCAGCACGAACCTGCAAAACTTTTCAACTCACGTTCTTGATGCCGCTGGCGATGAGGCCTTCCAGGAACTGATCCAGAGCGTGGTTGGTGAAGCACACGCACAGGATGGGACTTGCAGGAGGGATGGGACTCTCTACCCAGCCATCCCAGCACGAACCTGCAAAACTTTTCAACTCACGTTCTTGATGCCGCTGGCGATGAGGCCTTCCAGGAACTGATCCAGAGCGTGGTTGGTGAAGCACACGCACAGGATGGGACTTGCAGGAGGGATGGGACTCTCTACCCAGCCATCCCAGCACGAACCTGCAAAACTTTTCAACTCACGTTCTTGATGCCGCTGGCGATGAGGCCTTCCAGGAACTGATCCAGAGCGTGGTTGGTGAAGCACACGCACAGGATGGGACTTGCAGGAGGGATGGGACTCTCTACCCAGCCATCCCAGCACGAACCTGCAAAACTTTTCAACTCACGTTCTTGATGCCGCTGGCGATGAGGCCTTCCAGGAACTGATCCAGAGCGTGGTTGGTGAAGCACACGCACAGGATGGGACTTGCAGGAGGGATGGGACTCTCTACCCAGCCATCCCAGCACGAACCTGCAAAACTTTTCAACTCACGTTCTTGATGCCGCTGGCGATGAGGCCTTCCAGGAACTGATCCAGAGCGTGGTTGGTGAAGCACACGCACAGGATGGGACTTGCAGGAGGGATGGGACTCTCTACCCAGCCATCCCAGCACGAACCTGCAAAACTTTTCAACTCACGTTCTTGATGCCGCTGGCGATGAGGCCTTCCAGGAACTGATCCAGAGCGTGGTTGGTGAAGCACACGCACAGGATGGGACTTGCAGGAGGGATGGGACTCTCTACCCAGCCATCCCAGCACGAACCTGCAAAACTTTTCAACTCACGTTCTTGATGCCGCTGGCGATGAGGCCTTCCAGGAACTGATCCAGAGCGTGGTTGGTGAAGCACACGCACAGGATGGGACTTGCAGGAGGGATGGGACTCTCTACCCAGCCATCCCAGCACGAACCTGCAAAACTTTTCAACTCACGTTCTTGATGCCGCTGGCGATGAGGCCTTCCAGGAACTGATCCAGAGCGTGGTTGGTGAAGCACACGCACAGGATGGGACTTGCAGGAGGGATGGGACTCTCTACCCAGCCATCCCAGCACGAACCTGCAAAACTTTTCAACTCACGTTCTTGATGCCGCTGGCGATGAGGCCTTCCAGGAACTGATCCAGAGCGTGGTTGGTGAAGCACACGCACAGGATGGGACTTGCAGGAGGGATGGGACTCTCTACCCAGCCATCCCAGCACGAACCTGCAAAACTTTTCAACTCACGTTCTTGATGCCGCTGGCGATGAGGCCTTCCAGGAACTGATCCAGAGCGTGGTTGGTGAAGCACACGCACAGGATGGGACTTGCAGGAGGGATGGGACTCTCTACCCAGCCATCCCAGCACGAACCTGCAAAACTTTTCAACTCACGTTCTTGATGCCGCTGGCGATGAGGCCTTCCAGGAACTGATCCAGAGCGTGGTTGGTGAAGCACACGCACAGGATGGGACTTGCAGGAGGGATGGGACTCTCTACCCAGCCATCCCAGCACGAACCTGCAAAACTTTTCAACTCACGTTCTTGATGCCGCTGGCGATGAGGCCTTCCAGGAACTGATCCAGAGCGTGGTTGGTGAAGCACACGCACAGGATGGGACTTGCAGGAGGGATGGGACTCTCTACCCAGCCATCCCAGCACGAACCTGCAAAACTTTTCAACTCACGTTCTTGATGCCGCTGGCGATGAGGCCTTCCAGGAACTGATCCAGAGCGTGGTTGGTGAAGCACACGCACAGGATGGGACTTGCAGGAGGGATGGGACTCTCTACCCAGCCATCCCAGCACGAACCTGCAAAACTTTTCAACTCACGTTCTTGATGCCGCTGGCGATGAGGCCTTCCAGGAACTGATCCAGAGCGTGGTTGGTGAAGCACACGCACAGGATGGGACTTGCAGGAGGGATGGGACTCTCTACCCAGCCATCCCAGCACGAACCTGCAAAACTTTTCAACTCACGTTCTTGATGCCGCTGGCGATGAGGCCTTCCAGGAACTGATCCAGAGCGTGGTTGGTGAAGCACACGCACAGGATGGGACTTGCAGGAGGGATGGGACTCTCTACCCAGCCATCCCAGCACGAACCTGCAAAACTTTTCAACTCACGTTCTTGATGCCGCTGGCGATGAGGCCTTCCAGGAACTGATCCAGAGCGTGGTTGGTGAAGCACACGCACAGGATGGGACTTGCAGGAGGGATGGGACTCTCTACCCAGCCATCCCAGCACGAACCTGCAAAACTTTTCAACTCACGTTCTTGATGCCGCTGGCGATGAGGCCTTCCAGGAACTGATCCAGAGCGTGGTTGGTGAAGCACACGCACAGGATGGGACTTGCAGGAGGGATGGGACTCTCTACCCAGCCATCCCAGCACGAACCTGCAAAACTTTTCAACTCACGTTCTTGATGCCGCTGGCGATGAGGCCTTCCAGGAACTGATCCAGAGCGTGGTTGGTGAAGCACACGCACAGGATGGGACTTGCAGGAGGGATGGGACTCTCTACCCAGCCATCCCAGCACGAACCAGCAAAACTTTTCAACTCACGTTCTTGATGCCGCTGGCGATGAGGCCTTCCAGGAACTGATCCAGAGCGTGGTTGGTGAAGCACACGCACAGGATGGGACTTGCAGGAGGGATGGGACTCTCTACCCAGCCATCCCAGCACGAACCTGCAAAACTTTTCAACTCACGTTCTTGATGCCGCTGGCGATGAGGCCTTCCAGGAACTGATCCAGAGCGTGGTTGGTGAAGCACACGCACAGGATGGGACTTGCAGGAGGGATGGGACTCTCTACCCAGCCATCCCAGCACGAACCTGCAAAACTTTTCAACTCACGTTCTTGATGCCGCTGGCGATGAGGCCTTCCAGGAACTGATCCAGAGCGTGGTTGGTGAAGCACACGCACAGGATGGGACTTGCAGGAGGGATGGGACTCTCTACCCAGCCATCCCAGCACGAACCTGCAAAACTTTTCAACTCACGTTCTTGATGCCGCTGGCGATGAGGCCTTCCAGGAACTGATCCAGAGCGTGGTTGGTGAAGCACACGCACAGGATGGGACTTGCAGGAGGGATGGGACTCTCTACCCAGCCATCCCAGCACGAACCTGCAAAACTTTTCAACTCACGTTCTTGATGCCGCTGGCGATGAGGCCTTCCAGGAACTGATCCAGAGCGTGGTTGGTGAAGCACACGCACAGGATGGGACTTGCAGGAGGGATGGGACTCTCTACCCAGCCATCCCAGCACGAACCTGCAAAACTTTTCAACTCACGTTCTTGATGCCGCTGGCGATGAGGCCTTCCAGGAACTGATCCAGAGCGTGGTTGGTGAAGCACACGCACAGGATGGGACTTGCAGGAGGGATGGGACTCTCTACCCAGCCATCCCAGCACGAACCAGCAAAACTTTTCAACTCACGTTCTTGATGCCGCTGGCGATGAGGCCTTCCAGGAACTGATCCAGAGCGTGGTTGGTGAAGCACACGCACAGGATGGGACTTGCAGGAGGGATGGGACTCTCTACCCAGCCATCCCAGCACGAACCTGCAAAACTTTTCAACTCACGTTCTTGATGCCGCTGGCGATGAGGCCTTCCAGGAACTGATCCAGAGCGTGGTTGGTGAAGCACACGCACAGGATGGGACTTGCAGGAGGGATGGGACTCTCTACCCAGCCATCCCAGCACGAACCTGCAAAACTTTTCAACTCACGTTCTTGATGCCGCTGGCGATGAGGCCTTCCAGGAACTGATCCAGAGCGTGGTTGGTGAAGCACACGCACAGGATGGGACTTGCAGGAGGGATGGGACTCTCTACCCAGCCATCCCAGCACGAACCTGCAAAACTTTTCAACTCACGTTCTTGATGCCGCTGGCGATGAGGCCTTCCAGGAACTGATCCAGAGCGTGGTTGGTGAAGCACACGCACAGGATGGGACTTGCAGGAGGGATGGGACTCTCTACCCAGCCATCCCAGCACGAACCTGCAAAACTTTTCAACTCACGTTCTTGATGCCGCTGGCGATGAGGCCTTCCAGGAACTGATCCAGAGCGTGGTTGGTGAAGCACACGCACAGGATGGGACTTGCAGGAGGGATGGGACTCTCTACCCAGCCATCCCAGCACGAACCTGCAAAACTTTTCAACTCACGTTCTTGATGCCGCTGGCGATGAGGCCTTCCAGGAACTGATCCAGAGCGTGGTTGGTGAAGCACACGCACAGGATGGGACTTGCAGGAGGGATGGGACTCTCTACCCAGCCATCCCAGCACGAACCTGCAAAACTTTTCAACTCACGTTCTTGATGCCGCTGGCGATGAGGCCTTCCAGGAACTGATCCAGAGCGTGGTTGGTGAAGCACACGCACAGGATGGGACTTGCAGGAGGGATGGGACTCTCTACCCAGCCATCCCAGCACGAACCTGCAAAACTTTTCAACTCACGTTCTTGATGCCGCTGGCGATGAGGCCTTCCAGGAACTGATCCAGAGCGTGGTTGGTGAAGCACACGCACAGGATGGGACTTGCAGGAGGGATGGGACTCTCTACCCAGCCATCCCAGCACGAACCTGCAAAACTTTTCAACTCACGTTCTTGATGCCGCTGGCGATGAGGCCTTCCAGGAACTGATCCAGAGCGTGGTTGGTGAAGCACACGCACAGGATGGGACTTGCAGGAGGGATGGGACTCTCTACCCAGCCATCCCAGCACGAACCTGCAAAACTTTTCAACTCACGTTCTTGATGCCGCTGGCGATGAGGCCTTCCAGGAACTGATCCAGAGCGTGGTTGGTGAAGCACACGCACAGGATGGGACTTGCAGGAGGGATGGGACTCTCTACCCAGCCATCCCAGCACGAACCTGCAAAACTTTTCAACTCACGTTCTTGATGCCGCTGGCGATGAGGCCTTCCAGGAACTGATCCAGAGCGTGGTTGGTGAAGCACACGCACAGGATGGGACTTGCAGGAGGGATGGGACTCTCTACCCAGCCATCCCAGCACGAACCTGCAAAACTTTTCAACTCACGTTCTTGATGCCGCTGGCGATGAGGCCTTCCAGGAACTGATCCAGAGCGTGGTTGGTGAAGCACACGCACAGGATGGGACTTGCAGGAGGGATGGGACTCTCTACCCAGCCATCCCAGCACGAACCTGCAAAACTTTTCAACTCACGTTCTTGATGCCGCTGGCGATGAGGCCTTCCAGGAACTGATCCAGAGCGTGGTTGGTGAAGCACACGCACAGGATGGGACTTGCAGGAGGGATGGGACTCTCTACCCAGCCATCCCAGCACGAACCTGCAAAACTTTTCAACTCACGTTCTTGATGCCGCTGGCGATGAGGCCTTCCAGGAACTGATCCAGAGCGTGGTTGGTGAAGCACACGCACAGGATGGGACTTGCAGGAGGGATGGGACTCTCTACCCAGCCATCCCAGCACGAACCTGCAAAACTTTTCAACTCACGTTCTTGATGCCGCTGGCGATGAGGCCTTCCAGGAACTGATCCAGAGCGTGGTTGGTGAAGCACACGCACAGGATGGGACTTGCAGGAGGGATGGGACTCTCTACCCAGCCATCCCAGCACGAACCTGCAAAACTTTTCAACTCACGTTCTTGATGCCGCTGGCGATGAGGCCTTCCAGGAACTGATCCAGAGCGTGGTTGGTGAAGCACACGCACAGGATGGGACTTGCAGGAGGGATGGGACTCTCTACCCAGCCATCCCAGCACGAACCTGCAAAACTTTTCAACTCACGTTCTTGATGCCGCTGGCGATGAGGCCTTCCAGGAACTGATCCAGAGCGTGGTTGGTGAAGCACACGCACAGGATGGGACTTGCAGGAGGGATGGGACTCTCTACCCAGCCATCCCAGCACGAACCTGCAAAACTTTTCAACTCACGTTCTTGATGCCGCTGGCGATGAGGCCTTCCAGGAACTGATCCAGAGCGTGGTTGGTGAAGCACACGCACAGGATGGGACTTGCAGGAGGGATGGGACTCTCTACCCAGCCATCCCAGCACGAACCTGCAAAACTTTTCAACTCACGTTCTTGATGCCGCTGGCGATGAGGCCTTCCAGGAACTGATCCAGAGCGTGGTTGGTGAAGCACACGCACAGGATGGGACTTGCAGGAGGGATGGGACTCTCTACCCAGCCATCCCAGCACGAACCTGCAAAACTTTTCAACTCACGTTCTTGATGCCGCTGGCGATGAGGCCTTCCAGGAACTGATCCAGAGCGTGGTTGGTGAAGCACACGCACAGGATGGGACTTGCAGGAGGGATGGGACTCTCTACCCAGCCATCCCAGCACGAACCTGCAAAACTTTTCAACTCACGTTCTTGATGCCGCTGGCGATGAGGCCTTCCAGGAACTGATCCAGAGCGTGGTTGGTGAAGCACACGCACAGGATGGGACTTGCAGGAGGGATGGGACTCTCTACCCAGCCATCCCAGCACGAACCTGCAAAACTTTTCAACTCACGTTCTTGATGCCGCTGGCGATGAGGCCTTCCAGGAACTGATCCAGAGCGTGGTTGGTGAAGCACACGCACAGGATGGGACTTGCAGGAGGGATGGGACTCTCTACCCAGCCATCCCAGCACGAACCTGCAAAACTTTTCAACTCACGTTCTTGATGCCGCTGGCGATGAGGCCTTCCAGGAACTGATCCAGAGCGTGGTTGGTGAAGCACACGCACAGGATGGGACTTGCAGGAGGGATGGGACTCTCTACCCAGCCATCCCAGCACGAACCTGCAAAACTTTTCAACTCACGTTCTTGATGCCGCTGGCGATGAGGCCTTCCAGGAACTGATCCAGAGCGTGGTTGGTGAAGCACACGCACAGGATGGGACTTGCAGGAGGGATGGGACTCTCTACCCAGCCATCCCAGCACGAACCAGCAAAACTTTTCAACTCACGTTCTTGATGCCGCTGGCGATGAGGCCTTCCAGGAACTGATCCAGAGCGTGGTTGGTGAAGCACACGCACAGGATGGGACTTGCAGGAGGGATGGGACTCTCTACCCAGCCATCCCAGCACGAACCTGCAAAACTTTTCAACTCACGTTCTTGATGCCGCTGGCGATGAGGCCTTCCAGGAACTGATCCAGAGCGTGGTTGGTGAAGCACACGCACAGGATGGGACTTGCAGGAGGGATGGGACTCTCTACCCAGCCATCCCAGCACGAACCTGCAAAACTTTTCAACTCACGTTCTTGATGCCGCTGGCGATGAGGCCTTCCAGGAACTGATCCAGAGCGTGGTTGGTGAAGCACACGCACAGGATGGGACTTGCAGGAGGGATGGGACTCTCTACCCAGCCATCCCAGCACGAACCTGCAAAACTTTTCAACTCACGTTCTTGATGCCGCTGGCGATGAGGCCTTCCAGGAACTGATCCAGAGCGTGGTTGGTGAAGCACACGCACAGGATGGGACTTGCAGGAGGGATGGGACTCTCTACCCAGCCATCCCAGCACGAACCTGCAAAACTTTTCAACTCACGTTCTTGATGCCGCTGGCGATGAGGCCTTCCAGGAACTGATCCAGAGCGTGGTTGGTGAAGCACACGCACAGGATGGGACTTGCAGGAGGGATGGGACTCTCTACCCAGCCATCCCAGCACGAACCTGCAAAACTTTTCAACTCACGTTCTTGATGCCGCTGGCGATGAGGCCTTCCAGGAACTGATCCAGAGCGTGGTTGGTGAAGCACACGCACAGGATGGGACTTGCAGGAGGGATGGGACTCTCTACCCAGCCATCCCAGCACGAACCTGCAAAACTTTTCAACTCACGTTCTTGATGCCGCTGGCGATGAGGCCTTCCAGGAACTGATCCAGAGCGTGGTTGGTGAAGCACACGCACAGGATGGGACTTGCAGGAGGGATGGGACTCTCTACCCAGCCATCCCAGCACGAACCTGCAAAACTTTTCAACTCACGTTCTTGATGCCGCTGGCGATGAGGCCTTCCAGGAACTGATCCAGAGCGTGGTTGGTGAAGCACACGCACAGGATGGGACTTGCAGGAGGGATGGGACTCTCTACCCAGCCATCCCAGCACGAACCTGCAAAACTTTTCAACTCACGTTCTTGATGCCGCTGGCGATGAGGCCTTCCAGGAACTGATCCAGAGCGTGGTTGGTGAAGCACACGCACAGGATGGGACTTGCAGGAGGGATGGGACTCTCTACCCAGCCATCCCAGCACGAACCTGCAAAACTTTTCAACTCACGTTCTTGATGCCGCTGGCGATGAGGCCTTCCAGGAACTGATCCAGAGCGTGGTTGGTGAAGCACACGCACAGGATGGGACTTGCAGGAGGGATGGGACTCTCTACCCAGCCATCCCAGCACGAACCTGCAAAACTTTTCAACTCACGTTCTTGATGCCGCTGGCGATGAGGCCTTCCAGGAACTGATCCAGAGCGTGGTTGGTGAAGCACACGCACAGGATGGGACTTGCAGGAGGGATGGGACTCTCTACCCAGCCATCCCAGCACGAACCTGCAAAACTTTTCAACTCACGTTCTTGATGCCGCTGGCGATGAGGCCTTCCAGGAACTGATCCAGAGCGTGGTTGGTGAAGCACACGCACAGGATGGGACTTGCAGGAGGGATGGGACTCTCTACCCAGCCATCCCAGCACGAACCTGCAAAACTTTTCAACTCACGTTCTTGATGCCGCTGGCGATGAGGCCTTCCAGGAACTGATCCAGAGCGTGGTTGGTGAAGCACACGCACAGGATGGGACTTGCAGGAGGGATGGGACTCTCTACCCAGCCATCCCAGCACGAACCTGCAAAACTTTTCAACTCACGTTCTTGATGCCGCTGGCGATGAGGCCTTCCAGGAACTGATCCAGAGCGTGGTTGGTGAAGCACACGCACAGGATGGGACTTGCAGGAGGGATGGGACTCTCTACCCAGCCATCCCAGCACGAACCTGCAAAACTTTTCAACTCACGTTCTTGATGCCGCTGGCGATGAGGCCTTCCAGGAACTGATCCAGAGCGTGGTTGGTGAAGCACACGCACAGGATGGGACTTGCAGGAGGGATGGGACTCTCTACCCAGCCATCCCAGCACGAACCTGCAAAACTTTTCAACTCACGTTCTTGATGCCGCTGGCGATGAGGCCTTCCAGGAACTGATCCAGAGCGTGGTTGGTGAAGCACACGCACAGGATGGGACTTGCAGGAGGGATGGGACTCTCTACCCAGCCATCCCAGCACGAACCTGCAAAACTTTTCAACTCACGTTCTTGATGCCGCTGGCGATGAGGCCTTCCAGGAACTGATCCAGAGCGTGGTTGGTGAAGCACACGCACAGGATGGGACTTGCAGGAGGGATGGGACTCTCTACCCAGCCATCCCAGCACGAACCTGCAAAACTTTTCAACTCACGTTCTTGATGCCGCTGGCGATGAGGCCTTCCAGGAACTGATCCAGAGCGTGGTTGGTGAAGCACACGCACAGGATGGGACTTGCAGGAGGGATGGGACTCTCTACCCAGCCATCCCAGCACGAACCTGCAAAACTTTTCAACTCACGTTCTTGATGCCGCTGGCGATGAGGCCTTCCAGGAACTGATCCAGAGCGTGGTTGGTGAAGCACACGCACAGGATGGGACTTGCAGGAGGGATGGGACTCTCTACCCAGCCATCCCAGCACGAACCTGCAAAACTTTTCAACTCACGTTCTTGATGCCGCTGGCGATGAGGCCTTCCAGGAACTGATCCAGAGCGTGGTTGGTGAAGCACACGCACAGGATGGGACTTGCAGGAGGGATGGGACTCTCTACCCAGCCATCCCAGCACGAACCTGCAAAACTTTTCAACTCACGTTCTTGATGCCGCTGGCGATGAGGCCTTCCAGGAACTGATCCAGAGCGTGGTTGGTGAAGCACACGCACAGGATGGGACTTGCAGGAGGGATGGGACTCTCTACCCAGCCATCCCAGCACGAACCTGCAAAACTTTTCAACTCACGTTCTTGATGCCGCTGGCGATGAGGCCTTCCAGGAACTGATCCAGAGCGTGGTTGGTGAAGCACACGCACAGGATGGGACTTGCAGGAGGGATGGGACTCTCTACCCAGCCATCCCAGCACGAACCTGCAAAACTTTTCAACTCACGTTCTTGATGCCGCTGGCGATGAGGCCTTCCAGGAACTGATCCAGAGCGTGGTTGGTGAAGCACACGCACAGGATGGGACTTGCAGGAGGGATGGGACTCTCTACCCAGCCATCCCAGCACGAACCTGCAAAACTTTTCAACTCACGTTCTTGATGCCGCTGGCGATGAGGCCTTCCAGGAACTGATCCAGAGCGTGGTTGGTGAAGCACACGCACAGGATGGGACTTGCAGGAGGGATGGGACTCTCTACCCAGCCATCCCAGCACGAACCTGCAAAACTTTTCAACTCACGTTCTTGATGCCGCTGGCGATGAGGCCTTCCAGGAACTGATCCAGAGCGTGGTTGGTGAAGCACACGCACAGGATGGGACTTGCAGGAGGGATGGGACTCTCTACCCAGCCATCCCAGCACGAACCTGCAAAACTTTTCAACTCACGTTCTTGATGCCGCTGGCGATGAGGCCTTCCAGGAACTGATCCAGAGCGTGGTTGGTGAAGCACACGCACAGGATGGGACTTGCAGGAGGGATGGGACTCTCTACCCAGCCATCCCAGCACGAACCTGCAAAACTTTTCAACTCACGTTCTTGATGCCGCTGGCGATGAGGCCTTCCAGGAACTGATCCAGAGCGTGGTTGGTGAAGCACACGCACAGGATGGGACTTGCAGGAGGGATGGGACTCTCTACCCAGCCATCCCAGCACGAACCTGCAAAACTTTTCAACTCACGTTCTTGATGCCGCTGGCGATGAGGCCTTCCAGGAACTGATCCAGAGCGTGGTTGGTGAAGCACACGCACAGGATGGGACTTGCAGGAGGGATGGGACTCTCTACCCAGCCATCCCAGCACGAACCTGCAAAACTTTTCAACTCACGTTCTTGATGCCGCTGGCGATGAGGCCTTCCAGGAACTGATCCAGAGCGTGGTTGGTGAAGCACACGCACAGGATGGGACTTGCAGGAGGGATGGGACTCTCTACCCAGCCATCCCAGCACGAACCTGCAAAACTTTTCAACTCACGTTCTTGATGCCGCTGGCGATGAGGCCTTCCAGGAACTGATCCAGAGCGTGGTTGGTGAAGCACACGCACAGGATGGGACTTGCAGGAGGGATGGGACTCTCTACCCAGCCATCCCAGCACGAACCTGCAAAACTTTTCAACTCACGTTCTTGATGCCGCTGGCGATGAGGCCTTCCAGGAACTGATCCAGAGCGTGGTTGGTGAAGCACACGCACAGGATGGGACTTGCAGGAGGGATGGGACTCTCTACCCAGCCATCCCAGCACGAACCTGCAAAACTTTTCAACTCACGTTCTTGATGCCGCTGGCGATGAGGCCTTCCAGGAACTGATCCAGAGCGTGGTTGGTGAAGCACACGCACAGGATGGGACTTGCAGGAGGGATGGGACTCTCTACCCAGCCATCCCAGCACGAACCTGCAAAACTTTTCAACTCACGTTCTTGATGCCGCTGGCGATGAGGCCTTCCAGGAACTGATCCAGAGCGTGGTTGGTGAAGCACACGCACAGGATGGGACTTGCAGGAGGGATGGGACTCTCTACCCAGCCATCCCAGCACGAACCTGCAAAACTTTTCAACTCACGTTCTTGATGCCGCTGGCGATGAGGCCTTCCAGGAACTGATCCAGAGCGTGGTTGGTGAAGCACACGCACAGGATGGGACTTGCAGGAGGGATGGGACTCTCTACCCAGCCATCCCAGCACGAACCTGCAAAACTTTTCAACTCACGTTCTTGATGCCGCTGGCAATGAGGCCTTCCAGGAACTGATCCAGAGCGTGGTTGGTGAAGCACACGCACAGGATGGGCCCTGCGGAACTCGCCAGCTCCCTGCCTCGAGCAAAATGACCTGCCGAGCTGCTCTTGAGTGGATTGCTCAGCAGAATCTCTACAAGTTTGATCCCCACGAACGTCTGCCACGTGAATATACAAGAAAGTGTGCAGCATAGCATGCCCACAGCACCATAGGAATGAGCTTTTGTGTAAAGCCTGCACGAGCTTTTGTGTAAAGCCTGCACAAAACTTAAACACGGGTTTGCAATATATAATCGCAATTCAGAGCAAAACGAAGACTCTGGTTTTTGACCGACCCACCTTGCCAGCCTGTCCCTCTCTCACCTACCCCCCTCTCACCTACCCCCCTCTCACCTGCCCCCTTCTCAACTACTTCCCTCTCACCTGAGCGAACTCCTGAGTGAGGGCAGCCTGGAGCGCCGCAGCTTGGGGTTGGTCCAGCGACGCTTCTTAGCCTCCCAGCTAGATGTCACAGCTCGTCAATTTCTACATTCACCCAATTTTGAGTCGCCTCACCACTCACGTGCTCACACAACCCACCTTGCCAGTTCCCGGGGGCCCTTGCAGCAGAGCGAACTCCTGAGTGAGGGCAGCTCGCAGAGCCACGGATTGAGGTTCGTCCAGCGACGTGCAGCGCAGGAGCGCATCCATGGGAAAGGCCGTGGGGCTGGAAATCATCACGTTCCTCATGGCAAACTCGTCTTCTGCGGTGTTCTGTGGCTGCTGGGAGGAGGATGAGGGCACTTTGGTCTTGAGCAGCAGGCTTAAGTCGTACCTGCAAGCAAGCAAGGGAACACACAACAACGACACGGACACACACGCACACACACGCACGCACACGCACGCACGCACGCACGCACGCACGCACGCACGCACCCACGCACGCACGCACCACGCACGCACGCACGCACGCACGCACGCACGCACGCACGCACGCACGCACGCACGCACGCACGCACGCACGCACGCACGCACGCACGCACGCACGCACGCACGCACGCACGAACGCACGCACGAACGCACGCACCACGCACGCACGCACCACGCACGCACGCACGCACGCACGCACGCACGCACGCACGCACGCACACACACACACGGCACTGTATTAACGACGGGAAGGTATTGGGCTTCTGAATCAACACGAAGGGCACACGCTGGAGCGGTCTGTGCCTGCTGGAGGGAGGCACTGACCGCGAAGGGCGCCACCTGCTGGAGCACGTCCTATGCACGACCTACTTGCGTAAGGTAGCTGAGTCTCCCCACCCACCACAGCCCCATTCAGCTCCTCCCATTCAGCCCCTCTACTCCAGCATCCCATTGCAGGCCCCCCTCATTCCCCCCTTTCCCACTTACGTCATGCCCCCTTTGATGTACGCAGGCAGCTTGTACGCTCCAGGTGCCCTCCCAGGTGCCCCTCCAGGTGCCCCACCAGGTGATCCGCCAGCTGCCCCACAGATGTACTCAGAGAAGGGCAGCGACGCGTCAGTGATGCTCTGCAGCGCCTTCAGAATCGGCTCATACGCAAAAAAACTCCCATGCGCCTCCAACATCACCACCTGTACGCCCTTACTCCCGCCTCTGCCCCCACTGCCATCCTGAGCAATCAGCCCCAGCAAATCCGCACTGAACCCGTTCTCTCCACACGGCTGAATCCAATCTGCGGCCTGGCAGTGGCAAGCCTCTTTGTGTCGCGGGCCGTGATGGTGGCGAAGTCGAGCCGGTGGGAGGAAGAGTCGCTCGCTGAAGTGTCTCCCGCAGGGGGGAGCGGCTGCTGCCTGCGACTGCTGCCTGCTGCTGCCTGCCTGCTGCGCTGGGTGTCTCGAATCCACAGGCAGACCAGCGAGCCGTTCTGCAGCCTCCGCGTGTTGTCCCAAAACTCCACCCTGAAAGGAAACACAAGGAGGACGTGAGAAAGTGGATAGGCACAGACTGTCCAAAACTATCACAGACAACCAGAACGCCGCAACAGCCAACCAGGGCCGCCACATGCTTGAGCATGATTGAACCACTTAGGCTAAAACGGGGGTTACCTGTTACGAGCGCGCAGTCCCCGTGGCATGGGACTCTCGGAAATTAATCAGAAAATAAACCCCGCTCCTCTTGTACAAGGTTTTGAGTGCAAGGGCGGGATACCTATTACGAGCATGCCGGCCCCGCGGCATGGGAGGCTCAAGGAAGTCGATCAGAAAGTACACGCCGCTCCTCTTGTCCGTGTTAATGGACAACACACACACATCGCACAGCAGATACATGTCCATGTCCTCGGAAGAAAACCCCACCACGCCCTTCATATCCTCCGTTGGACCAAGACTGGAGCACATTCCATTCAGGCATAAATTACATGGGTGAGATGCCTAACCTTGAGTTACCTGTTACGGGCATTCCGGCCCCGCGGCATGGGAGGCTCAAGGAAGTCGATCAGAAAGTACACGCCGCTCCTCTTGTCCGTGTTAATGGACAACACACACACATCGCACAGCAGATACATGTCCATGTCCTCGGAAGAAAACCCCACCACGCCCTTCATATCCTCCGTTGGACCAAGACTGGAGCACATTCCATTCAGGCATAAATTACATGGGTGAGATGCCTAACCTTGAGTTACCTGTTACGGGCATTCCGGCCCCGCGGCATGGGAGGCTCAAGGAAGTCGATGAGAAAGTAAACCCCGCTCCTCTTGTCCGTGTTGATGGACAGCACGTGCACATCGCGCAGCAAATACACGTCCATGTCCTCCGAGGAAAACCCCACCACGCCCTTCATGTCATCCGTCAGACCCCGCACCAACTCACTGTCCGCCCTCAACAGCCCCATCGCATCCTCCCTTCCACCACCACCACTGCCACTGCTGTTCCTGCCACGAGCGCCCCGGGAGGATTCGTGGTTGAGACGGTGGAAGAGGAAGAGCGCCTTGCTCCAGAGAGGGGCAATCAGGTCGTGGCGGAGCAGGCGGAATTGGATGTCCACGTGGCGGGCCACGGAGCCCGCTGGCAGGTGGTGCGGCTCGCTGGGGTGGTTGTGCGGCAGGTAGGGCGACGCCTTGCACAGCACCTCCTCCATCGTTGGAGCCACTGAGATCTGGATTCGGGCAAGGGGAAAGGTATCAGGAGAGGAGGCGTCTGGTCTGGTCTCTCAGAGTTTTTTTAGATATCTCGAACACCCTTCTGGCAGGTGGTGGGGCTCGTTGGGTTGGTGTGCGGCAGGTATGGCAAGGACTTGCACAGAACCTTGTCCATTGTAGGAGCCACCGAAATCTGGATTCAGGCAAGGGAGGAGGTATTAGGACAGGAGGAGTCTGGTTTGATATGTCCTCGAACACCCGGATGGCAGGTGGTGCGGCTCGTTGGGGTACATTTGCGGCAGGTAGGGGGCAAGGCCTTGCACAGCACCTCCTCCATCATTGGCGCCACTGAGATCTGGAGTCAGGCAAAGAAGGTCATAAAGGCCAGGAGGAGTCTGGTTTGATTTATCCTCGAACACCCGGATGGCAGGTAGGGGGCAAGGTAGGTAGGTAGGGGGTGGATTTGCGGCAGGTAGGGGGCAAGGCCTTGCACAGCACCTCCTCCATCATTGGCGCCACCGATATCTGGAGTCAGGCAAAGAAGGTCATAAAGGCCAGGAGGAGTCTGGTCTCGGAGAATACGAATCATCAGGACAGCCGGCGTTTGGTCACAAAAGAGAAGATCATCAGGACAGGAGCCTCGTATCAGACAACAATTGATCAAGGGAGGAGACACTCATGAAATAAAAATATTAGGATCAAACCAGAAATGGTTTTATTGTCATCAATGACTGCCATACCAAGTACATCAGATCAGACGATGACCATTATCTTACAGCTGAAATCTCAAGATGGTCGTTGTCATGCCTTGGGCGGCCATCCAAGCTGAGCTCGCCCGGACCATCCACAGCTTGCATGCTGGACGGATGCTGACCTGCACGACACATGGTTCACAGCAGCCAGAATCTCAAATCATTTGTGTCATGAACTTCAAATTCGACGACAATCATCTGTCTTATGTCAAACATTTCACATCAACATCTGATCAAAGCAGCAGCTCATGGAACTGCACAGACGATCCTGAAGGGAAGAAGTCAGCATGCAGACGCTGCCCTTCCCCCATCCTCTGCCGCTGTCTCTCACTCTGCTGACGCCTATCCAGCGACTTTTGAGATATTCTAAAACTCAACATGCAAAGGCACAAGACAAACGAACCTGAGGGAAAGAACTCAGCATGCAGCAGCTGCCCTTCCTCCATCCTCTGCCGCTGCCTCTCACTGTGCTGCCGCCTATCCAGCGACTTCCTTAGCCTGTAGATCACCGAGCGAATGCTATGGTACTTGCCATCAAACACCGGCTTCTCCCTCTGCCATTTCTCCAGCATGCCTTCCACCTCCTGCATGTCATTACTAGCTTGTGCCGCGTCGAAGAGAGAGTAAAAACGGTCCATGGTGAGGTTGAAGAAGCTGATGATGACGTGGAATGCCGCGTCCCAGTCAGTGATATTGTCGTCGTCCCGTGACAGATCGCGGATCATCCCGCGTTGGGTTAGGAGGCGCATGCAGCCGATTAGGTACTCCTGAAGACCTTCCACCTCGACGATTGCTGCTAGGGTAACGTTGACCTTGCTCGATGCAGGATTGTTGAAAAACTCCGGCTGCAAAGCACCATTTTCAAGAATGAAACGCAGAAAACTCATTTGAGTTTTTTAGGAAGCTTAAAGAATGAATCAGAGCAAAAAGACATACCATGCTGTAGCGAAATTGCGTGCAAAATCGCAGGATGTTACCTGGCAGATGACCCTGAGCATCGGAAGAATCACGCCCTGAAAGGAAACGAATCGGCTGTGATTCCCAGCAGACACGGATCTTGAAGGACCGCAAGCCACGGCCTCTCGGCAGATGCTGACCACCTTCTTTCTGCCAAAGAGCTTGTCGTCAGCCAGCACAATGACCAGATCTGCAGTAACGGTTTGGGATTCACAACAATACGAGGATAAATCTTTAGTCGACTCGAATGTCTTTCTGCCAAACAGCTTGTCCTCAGCCAACAGAATTACCAGATCTGCAGAAACGGTTGGAATTAACAGAAATAATATCGTGACGTCAGCATCGTTGACTGACAACTTGAAAGCAGCAGTAGCAACACTCCAAAGGACAATCTGTCATCATGTGATGGTTGAAAAAATGGTTAAAATTGTTAAGTACCTGAAGCGTCATGAGCTTCCATTGCGTTCACGAAAGTCCTCATCTGAGACTGATTCAAGAAATCTCTGTCGTTCGGTAGAAAGGACCACAGGGTAGGCCCCCCCCTCCTCTCATGTCCGTCTGAACTGGACGTTCCTCCTCTTCCTCCACCCCCTCCTTCCCCCCCTCCTCCTCCTCTCCCCCCTCCCCCTCCTCTCCCTCCTCCTCTTCCTTCTCCTCCTCTTCCTCCCCTTCCTCTCTCAACTCCCCCCCCGCCGCGGCATCCCCCATGATTCTGATTCTGATTATCAAATTGCCGCCCTCCTCTGCCTCCTAAGATTCCCCGTCCGCCATGGTTCCAGCCTCTTCCCCTGCCGCCTCCTCTATGGATTATCCATGGCTCTCAGCACTCTAGAAGAGTGTTCACCAAATACGGTACGACCCAAACAAAAAAAATCTAGTTGAGAGTGTTCGAATTCTGGCGTAGGACAGTCTTGCTCTAGGTGTACTCTAGCGGCACAGAATAATCTGCTTTGGGTGGGCGTTCCAGGTCCGACCAATAAAACGCTGCTCCTCTAGGAGAGTGTTTCAGGTCCGGCGTAGGACAGTCTTCTCTGGGCTTGTCTGTTCCGAATGAAGTCATTTGTTTTCCTTCAAATTGGACATTTCACTCTCTTTGGACATTTTACACTCTCACAGAGCCCCCGTCAGTAGCCCCACCAGCACAAGCAGTGCCAGTGAGCTGATGATGTGAAGGACATCCGTTCCGAACCGATCCGATTATCTGGTAACTGCTTGTGTCCACATTTCTCAAACGACATCCATTGATATCTCCGCTTTTGTCACTTCCACCACGGGGTGAATGTGCCCTGAATCGATGTTGGGGATGAGTGGAGTGCCCCAAATTTGACTATGACCGTTTCTATTCGCTGGATTTCCCGTTTTTTGCCCGTTTCCCTGCCCGCACTAAGCACTCTCAACACCCCTCGACATCCCCAAGGGATCGGGGATGTCGAGGCTGAGTCTCGAGGTGTCGATGGCCCTTTGAACGCATACATCTCGAAGAAGCACCCAAACAAATCCCGTCCACTTCTGTCAAAACCCGTCAACATCCCGCATCCCACTTCCGGCATGCTGCAGAACTGCCAAACAAAACGACAGGCTTTGGGAGCTCCTCACGCCTAGATGGTTCCGCCTGTGCTATGACGCCTTTCTCACGCCTACTTCACGCCTTGTCTCCGAGGCGGTTTGTGGCATCGCGTGCTGATCAGTTACCACTGGAAGTTGTCGCCCCCTTCTCATCTACAAGCAGGTCTAGTATGCTTCCTATAGTTGCAGAGAATGTTACATACGGATTCCATGGATATATTGCCTTTCTATACTGGGTGCATTTTTTGCACTGTGATATGATATCCTGCCAGGAAACTACACAATATATACATGGTAATCAATAGATAATTCTTATTTTCGTGTGATTCCTTGGCATCCAAACATCTGTTTTATCCATGTTCAAGTAGAGAGCTTCTAATGTTTTTGTTGTACACGTACCTATACCATGATTGAACGTACATGCGGACAATGGCTGGAATCAGTTATCATATGAAAAAACGATTTCCTTCTTATAGGGGCCTTTCTGCCTCGCGATTGCATTTTATACTTCAGGTCAGGCCAGCCTCGTCAAAATCAAGGCTTCCTGGTTCAGGTAATCCCACACACCAGCCTAGCATGTCCTAGAATTCCTCCGCCATCTCTCTTGTCGGGATGTTCTCGAGCGGTACACTCTAGTCGTCACCTGTACCGCTACGGTGTTCTGAACCTTGTTCCGTTGCGCCTGGAACTGCGATTTAGGCCTTGTTATCAGAAAGCCTAACTACAGCGATTTCCATGAAAGGTTGACTTACTGAGCTAAACTGCAGACCGTCAAAGTCGTCGGATCAGTCACGCAGATCGCAGTCAGTCAATGGCGACTGTCGCGAGTCCGCAAGCGCTGTTCGCGAATCCAGGGTCATCGTCACTACCACCAGCAAGCCTAGGCTCTGCAGCGATGACAAGTCAGGGTGGTCCTGATTCGGCCGAGGAGAGAAGGTCGTCGGTTCCGCAGCAGCTATCCTCGGAAGAGCTGGCTGCTCAATTGCTGGACGAGCTATTCGGTTCCGACGACGATTCGGTAAGCAGCGTCATTGAATGTTCGATTAATCAAAGAGCTGGCTGCTCACTTCTGAGGAAGATTCTTTTTGTTACGGGTCAACTGTTTGGCTCTAACAATGATTCGGCAACGTGGAAACGGGAAGCTATTAGTTGTATACAAGCATGCGAACAAAGTTAACCGCCTTCTCTCTTGCCCAATATATGCAGGATGATGCCATGGGGTCTGCACTGCACACAACAGGAGGCGACCTGACTTTCGGCGAAGATGTTGCTGTGTGAGTGAGCACTGAGCCGCTGAGCTTTAGAGCATTAAAGCGACATTGTTGAATTGAGGCCCAGAGGCTTTGAGCGCTTAGCCTCTGTAGGCACGGAGCCGTTACAAGCAAGACCATCGTTACCGAACCTGGTCCTTATCGTTTGCATGTGAAGTCATGGCAGCAGGAAAAATGTAACAGGAGTGACGGGTTGGCTGGGCTGGGCCGTGTCCTTGTGTGTGTTTGGTGTTCAGCCAGGCCGTGCCTCATATGCCCTTTCATTGGCTACCTCTCTGTACCTTTAACGTACGCACAATAATTTCCGACATTCTCCTTCTCTCCTCTGACATTTTTCTCGGGCGTCTCTGACCGTTCTCTTCCTGCAGGGACGAGTCTTTTCTTCAAGGGCTTCGGGAGGACCTGGATCGGTTTAAGGACCACGAGGTCAGTCCTGACTCCTGAGGTGATCCAACTGAGTAGTGGAAGTTTTACCATCTTAACATTTTGAGGACTATCTGCCACCAGTAGTCAATAATCTGATGTCAATCCAGATTCCTTATCCAAGGAATGGGATGCGACACTTTGTTCCTGCATCTCTTTCTCTCCGTCTCGCCTTTCCAGGTTGTGTCTAATATCCTGGGTCAAGGCGAGTGCTCGGGAGGTGGAGGAGAAGCTGAGGCAGGTGGAGCTGGAATCTATCTAGTTCTCACACCCACCACAAATAGGGCTTTGAATGTTTACCTTTTTCCTCTTCTCGCCATTCCAGGTTGTGTCCAACATCCTGGGTCAAGGCAGTGACCTGCGTGAGTTCGCACGGGAGGTGGAGGAGAAGCTGAGGCAGGTGGAGCTGGAGTCGATTCAGCCCCCCCCCACCCACAACAAATCGGACTTTGCTTGCATGTGTCCCTTTATCCCCCGCGCCCCAACCCCCTTCCAGGTCGTGTCCAACATCCTGGGTCAAGGCAGCGACCTGCGTGAGTTTGCACGGGAGGTGGAGGAGAAGCTGAGGCAGGTGGAGCTGGAGTCGATTCAGGACTACATGAAGGAGAGCGACAACCTTCTGGCACTGCACGCTCAGATCAAGGACTGTGACCTCGTGCTCACCCACATGGAGTCCCTCCTCGGGGGCTTCCAGGTAAGCGGAAAGGAGGCACGAGGGGAGAAGGCGGGTGGGGGTGCGGCTGATTCATATCCACTCGATTCAGGACTACATGAAGGAGCGACAACCTGCTGGCGCTGCACGCTCAAATCAAAGACTGTGACCTCGTGCTCACGCACATGGAGTCCCTCCTTGGGGGCTTCCAGGTATGCGGAAAAGGAGGCACAAGGGGGGAAGGGGGGTGGGGGAACGGCTGATTCATATCCACTCGACTCAGGACTACATGAAGGAGAGCGACAATCTGCTGGCACTGCACGCCCAGATCAAGGATTGTGATCTCGTGCTCACCCACATGGAGTCCCTGCTGGGGGGCTTCCAGGTACAGATAGGAAGGACGCATTACATAGAATCTTGGGTGGGCTGATTGGATTGGATTCGATTCAGAAGTACATGAAGGAGCGGAGAGGAGAGCGACAACCTGCTGGCGCTGCACGCTCAGATCAAGGACTGTGACCTTGTGCTCACCCACGTGGAGTCGCTCCTTGGGGGCTTCCAGGTATGAATGGGAAGAACAGTTTAAGCAGGAAGCTCGGGGTGGGGGGTGTTGATTGTCCTGGAGTCGATTCAGGACTACATGAAGGAGAGCTGAGGAGTGCGACAACCTGCTGGCACTGCACGCTCAAATCAAGAACTGTAACCTCGTGCTTACGCACATGGAGTCGCTGCTTGGGGGATTCCAGGTGCGGAGAGCAGTAGGCAAGAGGGAAAAATGGGGTGCGCAGGGTGTGATTTAAATGGTTTTGATTCAGGACTAGACGAAGGAGAGGAGAGGAGAGCCGCAACCTGCTGGCGCAGTTGTCGTGTTGCTGACTACAAGATCACCATTACCTCAGATCAAGGACTTTGACCCACATGGAGTCCCTGCTGGGGGGCTTCCAGGTAAGAATTGGGAGAAGAGTTTAAGCAGGAGGAGGCATGGAGAGAGGGGATGATTGGATTGAGTTCCCTTCAGGACTGCATGAAGGGGAGCGGTAGCGCTGGCGCTGCACTGGTTGGTCTGCTCATTTTTTCCTCTCCGCTTCTTTTCTTCTCCCATCTCTTCAGGCGGATTTAGGAGCGGTGAGTGCGGAGATCAAGGACCTGCAGGAGCGCTCCATGGGAATGGCGCAGCGACTCAGGAACAGAAGGGTACGTTGTTGCACACACAGCACCGGACTAGAGTGGGGAGGGGGAGGGACTTGTGAACATGAACGCGTATGGTACGCTGCACACGGATCCAATTTTAAAAGGTCTAATCGACGATGTTGAAAAATGAGGAGGTGGGCGAGGGGTACACTTCCCACTCTATGTTTCTCTTTCCCCACTTCCCAGTGCTGCAGGTTTCTCTCCCCACTCTATGTTTCTCTTTCCCTTCCGCAAAGCCATGCCATTTCCCTCTCATCCTTCAACCACGCAGGCAGCGGAGGGGCGGTTGGGGCGGTTTGTGGAGGAGATGGCAGTGTCGCCAGACCTGATTGACACGGTGGCGGAAGGCGAGGTGGGCGAGGGGTACATGCGCGCGCTGCAGGCACTGAACCGTTCACTCTCCCTTTGCCTTCCCACCACCCACGCAGGCAGCAGAAGGACGGTTGGGGCGGTTTGTGGAGGAAATGGCAGTGAGTCCGGATCTGATCGACACGGTGGCGGAGGGCGAGGTGGGCGAGGGGTACATGCGCGCGCTGCAGGCGCTGAACCGCAAGCTGCACTTTGTGGCAGAGGAGCCCAGCGCTCGGTCATCCGCTGCCATGCGT